AAATTGGAATGACCTTTTTTCGAGAAATGTTCAGGTAAATGCCATTTTGAGTTAAATCTATACCCCTCTCTCTGTTAACGATTACAGATTTCTTATCTACAGTGTCGACTGCTTCTTCTTACACTACCTTGACGATGGAAACAACATCGGAAGGTAAAGTTTCTGAAACTAAGCGTTGATAAAATTGTACCTGAAATAAACGTGAGGAATTTCTTGAGATTTCAAAATTTGTTGTCTTGATCGATACTACCTTCCTAAATACAATGGTAGTCTACAGTAATTCTATTTTGTCTCTTGATAACAGACTTAACATCCCAAGCAACAAGTGCCGTTACCGAAACTCCAATCTCGCCCGCTACTTCGTCTGTAGAAGCAACAACTCTGGGTAGGCCTAACATAATAAAAGTGATTTTTGGCTGGGTTTTTTGTTTTGTTTGGCGACTTTCCCGATATTCAGCTGAATGCAATTATGTAATCCTATTTCTCCGTTAATAATCACAGATTTCCAATCTACAGTGTCGACTGCCCCTTCGGAAACCACAGCCTCGTCCACTACCTTGACGATGGAAACAACATCGGAAGGTGAAATTCTGAAAGCACGATGCTAGTTTTCATAAGTAGAGTATGCCTAAATGTAATAAACATTGGCTATTGTATTTTCTCTTTTAATGACAGACTTGACATCTACTGTAACAACTGGTATTTCTGAAACTCCAATCTCGTCCGCTACTGCACCTGTAGACACAACAACTGAAGGTAATATGCCATGGCATTTCAACTGCATTGGGCTTTTTTTCATATCATGTCATTATTTCGACTTAAAACCTCTTTCTCTGGTAAAATGGCAGATTTCCAATTTACCGTGTCAACTACTCCTTTGGAAACAACAGTCTCATCCACTACCTTGACGGTGGAAACAACATTAGGAGGTAATATTCTCAAGCCAGCATTTGATCGAGGTTTTCACAAAGAAGATTTGTTGTGGTCAACACTTTACGCGCTTTAAAAAATTGAATGACGTCCAGTATAACCTGAAGTATTTTATCATCTCTGTTGATGACAGATTTGACATCTGCCGTAACGACTGGCGTTTCTGAAACCCCAGCCTCGTCTCTCACACCAACTGTTGACACAACAAGTGAAGGTAATGTGAAAATTAAATGATATCGAGCGGTTTGGTTTTGTTTGGTGAGATACATCAACTAGATATCATCATCTTCATTGAATCGTATCAATGTTTTGTTGACAATACATTTTCAATCCACAGTGTTGACTACCGAAGTGGAAACCACAACCTCATCCGCCAGTTTGACTGTGGAGACAACATCTGAAGGTAATTCTCTTAAACTATGCGTTAATCAAACTTTACTTGAAAAAAGTTAATTTAATTGCATGGAATTGTGTAATTTTGCCGAGTATCTCTAGACACTGAGCTAAATAATATTATTTTCGAGTTAAATATACCCCTTTTCTCCAATAAAATTGTAAAATTCCAATCTACAGTGTCGACTGTCCCTTCAGGAACAACAGTCTTATCTACTACCTTGACGATGGAAACAACGTCAGAAGGTAATATTCTCAAGTCAGCATTTGATCAAAATTTTCACTGAGAAGTTTGGCTAAGATCAAATCTTTTCTCCCTTTTTAATCGAATGACCTATTTAATATCGTTTATTGACAGCCCTGACATCTGCCACAACAAGCGGCATTTCGGAAACTCCAACCTTGTCTGGTACTCCACCTGTAGATACAACGAGTGAAGGTATAATGGAATGAAAGTTAAATTGCGATGGGTTTCTTTGGTGTTTTTCTTTTGGTGATTGATATCGAACTAAATGCCACTGTACTCCTCTGTCCGTTAGTAATTACAAATCTCCAACCTACAGCCTCGACTGCCCCTTTGGAGACCACAGTCTCGTCCACTACCCTGACGATGGAAACAACATCTGCAGGTAATGTTCTCAAGCGTCGATTAACTTTACTTGGAACAAAATTGACAAATTTCCTTAGACTTCAAAATTCATTGTCTTGATCACTGCTTCCTTGCTATAATAAATATAGTCCACGGTAAAATTCTTTTTTTGTTGATGACAGACTTGACATCTGCCGCAACAACTGGCATTTCTGAAACTCCAATCTCATCCGCTACTACACCTCTAGAAACAACAACTGAAGGTAACATTTGGAAGGAAAATGCGGTTTGGTCTGTTAATAAGTTTTCAAAATTTCATTGTAGTTGTTTGAGGTGCATTATTTGGAGTGCACAATCGTTTTTCCCTTAATGGTATACAGATTTGAAATCTAAATCTCTGGAAACCACAGCCTCATCGACTACCTTGATAGTGGAAACACCATCAGAAGGTGAACTTCTCAGTTTCTCAGAAATTGGTATCCTAGTGTTCCTTATGATTGTGAAATGTGCCTAAAATATTCTAATGTCCCGGTTCTCGACAGAGTCGACGTCTATGATGACAAGTGTCGTTTTTGAAACTCTTACCTCATCTGCTACTCCAACCGTTGAAACAACAACCAAAGGTAGGCCTATCACTTGAAAAGAAATGGTTGGTTTGGTCTTTTAATCGGTTTTCAAGATTATTAATATTTTAGCATAATAGTATTATTTGGATATAACCATTTTGGTTTTTCCCTTGTGGCATGCAGATTCGGAATCTACGGTATCCACTTCCCCTTCGAAAACCACAGCCTCATCCACTTCCTTGATTGTGGAAACAACATCAAAAGGTAAAATTCTGAAGCCATTGTGTTGATCAAACCTGTCTCTCAGAAGTAAGTGCATGAATGTGCCTGAACGTAATGAATTATTGCTTTCTCAGTAGAAATTACTTCTGGTAATGACAGCTGGATTCCTCAAAAGGACCCTAGATACTGGAGCTCGCAATCCTGAAGAAAAATGTAGAGAGGAGACAGTAAGAAGCAGTTACAGTTTTAGAGGTGGGAGGAAAACCCCAGAGGAATATTCTGGGTAAAGCCCACGGAATCAGGTAAGGACTGAGAATCAAATTAGCATCTGGACCGAGCCGGTATTTGAACCTGGGCTTCAGAGGATTAAAGTATTCTACTGTTTCTGTTGATGACAGACGTGACATATGCCACAACAACTGGCGTTTCCAAAACTCCAATCTCGTCTGGTACTCCACCTGCAGAAGCAACAACTCAGGGTAGGCCTAATATCACGAAAGTATTGTTTGGCCTTTAGGTTTTGCTTAGCGACTTTCCACACATTCAGCTAAATTTGAATATCTATTCCTCTTTCTCCGTTAATTGCAGATTTCCAATCTACTGCATCAACTGCCCCCTCGGAAACCACATCCTCATCCACTACCTTGACGATGGAAACAACATCTGAAGGTGAACTTCTGAAGCCATGATGTAGATCAGAGTTAATATCCTAAGAAAAACAGTGGGCAGAAATATAATGATCGGTGGTTAAATATTCTACTCTCTCTGTTGATTACAGACTTGACATCTACCGTGACAAATGTCGTTTCTGAAACTCCAATCTTTTCCGCTCCTTCAACTGTAGAAACAACAACTAAGGGTAATTTAAATGTTATTATCATTAAGTATACTATACCTCTAAACTGGCAAATTTCCAAATTAATGCCCTTTTGAAACAACAGTCTCGTTTACTACCTTGACAATGGAAACAACATCAGAAGGTAATACTCTCAAGCCAGCATTTGGTAAAACTTTTCACAATGAAGTTTTAGCGTAATCAAAAATTTTACACTTATCAAATGAATGACGTCATATGTATACAATATTATTTATTGACAGCCCTGACATCTACCGTAACAAGCGGAGTCCCGGAAACTCCAACTTTGTCTGCTACTCCTCCTGTACAAAAAACAACTGAAAGTAATATCTCAAACATGAGCTTTTGTCCTATAATTTGTTTCCCGAAATATGAATGCATTTGCTGAATGACATTACTTTGAGTAAACCATGCCTCGTCTTTCCGTTGATGTTATTTATACAGATTTCCAATCTACAGCGTCGACTGCCCCTTTGGAAACTACAGCCTCATCCAGAACCTTGACGGTGGAAACAACATCTGAAGGTAAACTTTTAAAGCCATTTTGTCCATAGACATTCTTTCTTGGAAGTTGGTATAGGAATGAATGCAACCTATAGGCCCTAATGAATAACGGCTAAATTCGATTTTCTCTGTTGGTGACAAATGTGACATCTACCGCAACAACTGGCCTTTCTAAAACTCTAATCTTAAGTGCTACTTCACCTGCAGAAGCAATTACTCAAGTTGATACCACAATATTGTTTATCAAATTTTTGTATTGCCATTTTCTGAAGAGATCTGCAGATTTAGCTGAATATGAATATCCCAAGTAAACTATCCAAGCTCCGTTGCACAACCTACAGAGGCTTTCGAAACGTACACCACTAAAGGCAAAGTTTGTATCAGTCTCTGTCGTTTAAGTTTAAGATGTATCTTAAAGCAGAGAGTAGTTTCGATCTCAAGAGAATTTCTGTTCAAGATAGGAAAGAAAATGTAAAATTCTATTATGAATCTTTGATGTTTACTTTAATACCAGACATCAAGTCAACGGCATCGACTCAGCGTGCAGGAACTACGCCTTCATTACACACATCACCAGTACCAACAACTACAGGTATCGTCGTGTGTAAAACATTTGCATCTAATATCCGGTTCGTAAGTGTGACGTCACTTCAGTTTAAACCACGCCCACTGCACATGCACTGCACACAGAGTTGCATGCATTGATCGCCGTTTACATGGAACCTTGGAACCGGAGGTTAACGCACAACATCAGCGATCGTCCAATGGGAGCCTGCAAATCGTGGCGCGTCCGCCTTTGTCACGAAGTCACTTACAAACCGGATATTATTGCACATAGCCTTCATTATTTCATTGAAGGTTTTTGTTCGGCAAATAATTCTGTTTTTAACATTAAGAAAAAGGAGGAAGATTAATGCAGTATGTCCATTTCAATTCAAAACAATGCAACGCCTCGAAAACAGTTTGTTTGCAGTTTGTTTCCTCTGCTCACGCGCGCACAAGTTCGCTAAGGACTTGTCCTCCGAACACTAGTGGCCGGTTCTTTGCCAGTAGAAGCAAGGAATCAAAGTTATTATACAAAACGAAAAGAAATCTTTGTGTTAGTTGTGGAGGTGTAATCCTAAAGCGTACTGGGATAGAAAATATGGGGGAAAACTGAGTCTTTCGGCGTTTTTTTGAAATGCCATTTGACTTCATTGTAATCTTATTTGCCAGAAATGTAAAAACCTCTAGCTCTTTAGAATTTTGCACAATCAAGGCTCTGCATAACGACCTCCGTTTCACGTTTTTGCGCAGTATCGAGTAAAATTCAAGTCGAAGTTGAATGGTCAGCCGGTTGGAATTTGTCATCACATTTCATCATCTGACCATCATCCTTTGAAAAGAAATCTTTACATCACCTGTTGTTTGATCATTAGGGACTACTACGGAAGCCAAGCCTACCTGTGCTCCGGGAGAATTCGACTGTGGCCAATTAGTGTGTATCAGCGGTTTGTTTCAATGTGATGGCAACAGGGACTGCGAAGATGGAAGTGATGAAGACAATTGTGGTAATTAGGCATTTTAAGGTCAACTAAAGGACTCCGTAAAAATCAAATGCAAGCCAGAATTATCTTCCGTTTTTTATTTTAATGTACAACAACATTCGTTGCTATTCCGTTAAACAGTCACTTGCAGCACTAATTAATACCATTTAATATCAGAATTATTGGACGATATTTTGAGCAGATTTTTTAAAATCTAAATCAATCTGCAAGGGTAACCATATAAGGTGGTTCATATCAACGCCAATACAATACACCTCCTCCAGCAATAGTTTGTCAGAATTACTCTCCAAACCCCACATACCAGTTGAAGAAAAGGCATGCTGGAATACTGAGCAAAGAGATTCAGGAGCCTTTGCTGAAAAATCACGCGCAGTTGAATTGTGAACCGCTCAATGCCAAGATTCACTTACCTTTTTTCTGGGTAAGGGAACACTTGTGTCCTTCACACATGAAACCATGGTGCACTGGATCGTCTCCAAAATTTTTGTATTGCGTATGGCCATAAATAGGCTCAAGGGGTGCCTCTTTTCCTCTAAATGTTCAGTCTAGTTCAAATTTCACTTTTCAGTTGGCTGTCGTAATTACTGTTTCCAAGAAGAGCCCAGAGGAGATTGTTATTGTGATGCTAGTTGCGAGAAATTTGGAGATTGTTGCGAAGATTACTACGAGTATTGCACGCTACCAGCTTACACCACTAAATCCCCCGGTGAGAGCTAAGATGCATGTAGTATTTATTGAGTTATCCATCAATGCATTATCTGAGAAATTCAGCACTTTCGTAAAAGCAAAACCTTGAAATGACATGAATATTTCCCAAGTTGTTCAAGAAAATGATTGAATGAATATTTTGTCATATAAAGTTAATAATAATATTAATTCTGCTGCTACACAAAATGTTTGAGTCTGTTTAAAAACCTTGAAAACGAAGGTTTTAAAACGCAAAGAGAAAAACATTAGAAATGGGGAAGATCAACAGAGTCATGAAGCAGGTGGTCAAAAGTTTTCAATTTGTGTGCTCGACCAATTTCAACAATTTTCTTTGCTGTTTCTCTGGCCTGCATTTGGCTGAACTGTTTCAGTCACTTCGGCCATTATTAACGTGTGCGTGTTAATAAGGTAACCAGGCAATGTGGTTAGAGTTATTGCTGATCTGATTTTCAGTTGGATTTCATTTTCGAAACACCCGTTTCAGGTGTTAATGAATGCGACCCGGAGAAACCTCTTCACGACTGTAACGAGAACGCCTTTTGCACCGACACTCCTGAAGGTTTTAATTGTACTTGTAACGAAGGATACGAAGGGAATGGCAAATCATGCAATGGTGAGAATTGAATTTCATTAAGTACACAAGAGAAGGCGGGTTTATTGAGCCAGTGTGGTTTCCAACAGCACGTGCCAAAAATGCAATTCGTTTTAAGGTCATTCGGACGCATGTGCGAGGTGAAACCAATCAGTGCGGCTCTGCGTGGGCTGGCGCACGTGCTTTGTTCGCCAATGACCTTGCTTGTTTTGAAATACCAAAAAGGGCTTATTTTGACAAATTTATTTATTTGGATTATAAAATATCTCAAACATCAGTTCACAGATTTATCATCTTAATGGCAAACATTTCAGACAGAAAATGCCAATACCTACAACTGCATTTTCTACTTTTACAAGTTACCTGTATATAGTATACAACAGACAGTCCTCAGTGTGTGTAAACGATAAGAACAACTTTTACGATATTTTTCATTCCTTTTGTTTTCCTCAATAAAAGATATCGAGCCCCCGAGGATAGATTGCCCAGCCAACTTCACTGAATACACAGATTGCCGTAAGGAAAACTCGACAATCTCACTGCCCAATGTCAATTCAGCATCTGACAATTCAGGAGAGTACACCATTAGAGTTGATGTACAAGGCAAGGAGTACCAGGTTGGAGATACGGTCACTTTGGCTCTTGAGGGCTCACCCCATTTGCTACGTTACATAGCAACTGACGACTCGTCCAATAGGAGAGCATGCGATTCTTTCGTCAACGTGACCTCAGTAAATGGTAAGAGAACTGTCTTTCAAGACTCCTGTCAATTTGGTTAGTCGGTGATATTCTTCGCTGTTGTTCAGGAGTTAAAAGATGTGAACTTTAGGCCCGGATCCGTGAGGTGGGTTACGGGGTCGAACCTCCTACTCTAAAATAAAAAGGAAGAAATAAAGAAAAAAAGGGGGAAAATAATAAAAAGTAATATCTGAAGTAATCGCGCCAATACCATTGTAAATAGTGGATGTCACATGATGTTTAATTTCGTTTCCACTTGTCTTCAAAAAGATTAAGACATTTTAAAAATATCTCCGACCTGAACCCCCCCTGCAATATTGCTAGATGTGCCTCTGGACTTGGATTTCTCTGCTTACAAAACATTTGGTTCTTAAGGAATGTGAGAAAAATGTTCATACCTACGAATCACAACATTTTGACCGTCTCTGTTCTTTTTCTATAAAGCACTAGAACAGACAGGGTGGTTTTTTTCATGTTGCTATTTCTTTCGCAGATATTACCTATTCACTTCCACAAATAGCTCATTTGTTCACAAGAATTAATGCGAGCGAACGAATGATTATTTCGTATGAATAAAACACGAACATATGAAAATGTCCATCTTGTCTCTTCCCGTGTCTTCACATTATTGGAGTCTTGTACCCTAGATGCCTTTTTAAGGAAACCGCTATTCTTTAAGACAATTAACAATTTGAGATAAAGTATTAGTGCCCAAAGGAAAACATTAAATAATAATAGATGAAGTATTCGCTCACTATTTTTCTTTGCATAGATGGAAGCTCTTGTTTAACGACTGGGAGCCCACCCAACTGCATATGTTCATCTAATCAGGAAGGATCTTGCACCTGTTCCGCTGGATACTGCGGTCACGACTGCTCACGTAAGAAGCATTTTTTGTGGGGGTCTATGTCATATTGGTTCTTGAAAAGTGGGTAAAAAGTTTTAAAGGGCCCCTCAACCTTAAATGCCATTGAAGATTTCACACCCCTGTTAAAAATAGCCTTCGGAATATTTGCTTTTACTTGTCACTCTGACAGGTTGGCAGTTGCATGGGTCAGAAAGGATTTTAACACTCACGCCAATGAAGATTTCTGATGACCTGTTCGAATCTGTGAATTTTCACGGACCCTTTGATGAGGCAAAATGTGAAGATTTATTCTATGAAGAAGCATAAAGCATGCGAATTTTGGCTTGAAAATGCATGTAGGAGTTTGTATACCTTGTACTAGCTTAGTAACATGCATATCTTCTTTTCACCATAAACAGAGAATGACGTTGGTACTCTGTGCACCGGTCCCAAGGAACCGTATCCTAATTGTGAGGGCGTCAATAAATGTTCTCCAGGATTCACGGGTCCAACCTGCAAGGAACGTAAGTTTTATCCATGGCCAGTCAGTTGCCATGAAAGAAATTGCTAAAAGATGCACTGTTACTATTAGTTCGGTATTTTCCAAAATATAAAGCCATAACATTTTGTTCATTAGTAATGGCGAGAAGACGACAACAGAATGATTGAAAGCCATAACCCTCTCTTTGTTTTGCTACCGTCAAATGCTGTGATTTTGATATTATACAGCAAAAACTACATATTAATTTTTGCTACATATAAAACAAAATAAGAAATGACCATCTGGAAACATAATGCAAATCATTCCTCTTCTATACTATGGCTAGTGATTTGAAATTACAGAGATATCAAGGATTTTATATAACCTTAATCATAATGACCTATCCAATTTCTAAGTGTAACGTCAGTTCAGTTTAAACCACGCCCACGGCACATGCACTGCACATAGAGTTACATGCACTGATTGCCGTTTACGTGGAACCATTGTAACCAGAAGTTAACGCACAAATTCTGCGATCGTCCAATGAGAGCCTGCGAATCGTGGCACATCCGCCTTTGTGACAAAGTCACTTACGAACTGGATAGATGACTGATTTTGTTTGTTACCCTTCTTTTAACAGCAAGCTCTGAAATTAATTGCCCCGAAGTAGCCAACCAGTGTCTGAAATGGGGCGTGAATTCGGTGTCGATCCAATGGACGCAGGTTAAAGCTGTTGACTCGTCCGGAAATCCAATCTCTCCTGCCGACATCACTTGCCAAGATGTTAAAGGGGCAACCAGTGTCGAGCTCACTGGCGGAGAATTCAAGATTGGGGAGCATGAAGTCGTTTGTTCTTCGGATACTGGAGGCGTTGTTGTTCCAGTGTGCCTAATCTCCTTTACTGTTTCATGTAAGCAGGCCTTCTTTTAATTAAAGCTAAGAAATAATGAAAGGGTTTTGCTGCTCTTGAAAATAGAAGTTGTCGTTTTCCTTGTATCAAGCATCGGAAAAATAATAAATCGGCGGTGTACGAAAGAAGAAAGAAGGAAAGGAAGTGAAGGAAATGAAAATCGTTGCATCTGGCTTAAATAATTCTCACAGAAAAGTCCGTCATACATAGTCTTAGGGTCGATTGTCCTACAAACATTTATCCACAACATAAGCTCTTCTTTCGGGTGCATAGCATCAGTGGGTAGGTCCTCATCCCATGACCATTATATCTGATAATCCTTGTGCTAGCGAGATGTTTTTGCCCTAAGAATATTTTTCATCATTTGGGTACATCACGTAGAATTAATAAACATCCCTTTATTATCTACCGTCCTAAACAGTCAAGATCGTTGTATTTCTTCTTTCGATTCTTTTTTCTGCGTCTATTACCTTGATTTGTGTGTTTCTTTTATAGCAAACCCGACATTTAAAGTACCAGAAATAGGCGATCAGTGCACAGATCTGGGAAAGTCGACTTCAAACGTTACTTGGGACATTGTTCCAGCCGCAGACGAGGAAGATGTGACGATCATCTGTACAGGCTCTGAAGGGAGTACAGACGTAGGTCCAACAGGAGGTGTTTTCAAAGTCGGAGCCCACACAGTGACCTGCACGGCGACTAATTCGGGTGGCTGCATCAAATCAAAGATATTTGGGTTTAGTGTCTTAGGTAAGAGTTATTGTTGCCAAAATACACTTGGACTCTTACAGATAGATGAATGTTACCAGTGTCTTAGGTAAGAGTTGCTATTGCCAAAATACACTTGGACTCTTAGGGATAGATGAAAGTTAGCAGGGTTTATTTTTTACATATGACTATCCTTGCAGATCACTCTAAAGTTTCAGAGGTTCAGACAAAAACACGACTTTCGGATTTCGTGCCTTTCAGCATTTCAAGCTTGCGCAGTAGCCTACTAATTTCATGTATATTTCCAAAGAAAATGTTTACGTGAGCTAGGTATAATTCGTTGGAGTAGCAGGCACTCCTTTGCTATAATTAGGATGTCTTTGGTAAATGTATAGCTATCAAGTCTGATAAAATTAGGTAGGTTCTTTACAACAGATTTCTTTGTTTCATTTTACTTTCCAGAGGGTAACATCATCCCATTTGGGGTTGAGATGGGCGACTCTTTGCTATCAGATGCTTTTCAAGAGGTAGATAATTTGAATTGGAAACTTCAGGAGAATATGGACATATAATGGATAATAAAAACCCTTCAAAATGAGTTCTCAAAAGTTTATTGTAAACGAACTTGTCTTTTTCGGTTTTAGTCTAAGTAGATGAAAGTTTTTAGTAAGTGCGTGAAAATATCATCTTGATGCTCCATTTGACTAGAATGATCAGAATGACTCGAGGTCAAGTGACGGGATTATATAGTTAAGTATTTTCGTTCACAGAGCCATTTTACTGTTGTTGGCTGTGATTGGCTGAACTTGACTCTCCTTTCATCATAGGGTTAATCCAGCTTGGAATTAGTAATAAGAAAGAAAAGAGTTTTGATAGGAACTATATCTAATCTCACTCCTTTTATCTGTAGGCTTCTTTCAAACAAAGCAATTTTGTTTTGCCCTTCTTTTAACACGCAGAATCAACAGACCTCGAAGGATTTGATATCTCCAACTATTTTCCCGCCGAATTTCTTTCCTTTCTGTGACGAGCTGTATGAGTCGCTCTATGTAAGGGAATGCTACAATATTACTTCTAGCATAATAGCTTGAAAGCTCAAATAAGATTACATTCGATATGTACATTCGATATCTTTTGTTTAATATCATTTAATCAGAACTGTTGTTTTCCAACCGTTACAACACATGAAACTCAAGTAACACTTGCCAAATTGCTGGCTGGCAACGATTTCCTCTTTCATAGTAAATGACGTTCACGTTATTCCGTATTTTTCATGATGCTGCTTAACATGAATTTTTATAAATTGAGTTATTTTTTATCTTTTACAGTTCACTGACAATGGTGTGATTGTTCTGTCGAATGATAAAAGCCTCGAGAAGTGGGCGTTTCCTAATATTCCAGGTTTGCAGTTCCCAAACGGACCACCGATGATCGCACCATTTTGGGCGGATGTTCAGGCTGAAACATTTTCCCCTGAAAGTAACGTTTTCTGGCAGGTATTGAAACGGTTGTTTTATTTCCATTTGTAGTTTTATTGTTCATTTTGCATTGCTCTTTCGGGTCCAACATTCAATTTTCAAGAAAGCATTACTGATTGATCTAAAAAGGCAAAACAAAGATAAAGCTCAAATTTAAATCAGGGTAATTTGAATTTGCCAAATACATCCAGTCAAATGAATTACGACGTTTTTCTTGCTTTTCGACCGGACCAATTTTACCTCTCTTGACAAAGCCACATTTATGCAAACGCTGTTCAATACAGGTCTAAATAAAAGGTATTGGAAATCCCTGTACTCTGTCTCATGGTGAGTTCGCACAAAAATAGTTTGCGGGTCACTGGTACCTGAGCAAGTGTGAACCCTCCATTAAGCTAAAATGGACCCCAGGGTTGAGGTGTCAGATCCAGGAACACTTATGCAGGACAGAAGATACGAGAGTGCTGTCCTGACTCAAAAACATCACCCGAAGAAGAAAGAATAACGAAGCTGCATTCATCTGGGATCCTTTCGTAAACAGAAATAAATAAGTGTGATTAATTTTGTAAATGGTTTCTCTCCCCGTAAAACAATTTTCAAGGTATATGACCAGTACGATCCCAACACCAACCAATACATGTTGGATACCATCAAGGATATCGTGTCAAAGGTTGTGGATATACGGAACAACACGAACGCAGTCTATTGGGCGCTAGCCATCACGTGGAGTAATGTTCAACCAGTGTCCTCCAGTTATGCTTCTGTGAGTATATACTTTGTAACGTCTTCTAGAAGTAATACTTTGTGACTGAAACAAAAAGTACACCACTGAACCCTAATTGTCAGTAACACATTTCTTTTCAAAATATTTCAAAGTAAAGATTCGTACATGGCCAATTGCTAGGCTTTTCTGGGTCGCTTAGCGGGCGCTGGTCGTTTTACTCAGGCCGGGATGGAATGAGTGACAGGTCTTGCTCACCCGGCAAGTGTAAGAAGTACACTAAAGGGATCGTTATTTACAGCAGTACGAGTGATTCGCTGATTTTGCAGGGAACCAACACATTCCAAGTCTTGCTGCTGACCGATTCCATCCATAGCTACGTGGTATTCAACTACGGTCCTTGCAACATGAACTGGGACACTGCCTTCTTACCCAACAAAAACGTCATCTTGGGTTACACCTGCGGGATGTCCAAAGAGAGTGTTTACCTGGATGTACCCAAAAATTCACTCTTCCGTCCTGGCAGCTTCGTTGGAAATTCAGGACAAAAAGGCCGCTGGGTGTTCCAACTTGACAACCATCTTGATGACTTTGTCAACCCGCGTCTTTCCTGCCGCAACTGGTACAGTCGTCAGGCACCCTACCCAATCTTCGATGTATATTATCCCTCGTTTGCTAACACGTGCCCTTGTAGTTTGATAATGGCTTGGTTTGACTGGCGCTTTTTATTGACCTGGCGTCAGTCTTATATCCCACCGGGAGAAGTCTCTGAATACTTTCAAGACCAATGTAAGTGTGTTCGTTTTTGATATTTAATATCGTAAAGAGTGAGACCATGTCTATGGATATAAATGAAGCTTAATAACAGATGTGATTGTTTTTCCATTATGGATGTCTTTGTGTTAACGACCTTGTTCATTTCAATACTTGAGAACATATCGTTTGCACTGTAATGTAAAAACTGTCAGCAGACACGTTTGTATAACTTCACATTTCTGAAGGACTATGGTAACAAAGGAACATTTATTATTACAACTTTTTATTAACTCTATTGTTTTTAGCTGTCTTATGCTTTGTGCGACTCTTCCAACTCTCCGGTACCCCTGGCACACAGTGCTGCTACAAGAGATGGACCGGTGACCTTCTTTACGACGTCAGGAGCCCAAAGGTTGCTTCTGTCTTTGAGAGGTTCCCTTATAGTGATTTATTCTACACGGCTGATGCATTTCAAGAATGGTATGGTAAGTAGCCCTGCTTTATACTGTCTTTGCAACCTCGTGAGCATTTGCAGCCTCATTTGCAGCACATTATTTTGCAGAGTACGAGACAGACACTTTTCTGATTCACACAGTTTAAGTTCCAAATCAAAGTACCTTGTTATTCATCATTTGCATTTTGTGTTTTAACAGAGGAGGAGGTTCTTTCCCGTTATTACTGCTGTGAAAAATCTACCCTGTGTCACCTCTACATCGAGTGGCGCCCTCTTGTGACGTGCTCTCGGTATTTTCCAACCTTCTGGGGTGAGCACAAGACCTTTGTGCAATGCTTAAAAACCTGCCCAACTCCAGCGGCTAATTTCCCGTGGATGATATTACTAAGTGCTTAAATCAATACTCACAGAGTTATTCATTGAAAAATTTAGACCGAAATATTTAAATAATATTTCCAATAGGCTTTGCTCAATCATACGCGAGCCAGCCTGAATTTAATGACACGTGACAAATTTAATACTATCACGAAGGCATCTATTGTTTTACGTAAATAATAATTAATACATGTTATATATATGTAAGCAGTACGTTGTCTGTAGTGGGAATAAGTCTCGGATGGTGGAGAGATTCAACTTTTGTTCGCTTAATGAAAGACCTGTGAGATGTTCGTAAATGCTCCAGTATGACGTAATTCTTTTATATATATGTTCTGAGTAATTCATATCTGTGTCTAAATACAAGGTTGGTTCTGGGGCGACCCGCACGTAAGAACTCTTGATGGTGTGGACTATACCTTCAATGGTCTTGGGGAATATACACTGGTCCTCATTGAAGACGAGAACAGAAAGGAAAAGCTTTTTGAACTGCAAGGCCGAACGAAAAGAGTCTACAATCCTGAGATGGGCGAACTAACCAACGCAACCTCGTACAGTGGATTTGCTGCTGAAGACGTAGCAAGCGACGGCAGGGTTTGTAATCCACACAAAGAGATAGTCAAAATAATTATTGATTTTAATATTTAGAATCAGATGTTTGTACAATATTTCCATTGAGATAGACAAGTCAGATATCTGGAATATTCCTCCACTTCTTTATCACCAAATCCATGTCACAACTAAAGTTATGGCAGATCAAGACTGTTCCTGTTTATTTGTGAAGCACAACTTATTTAAAAACTAAAATGCAATTTATACGTAACGATCAGTTTGTTTCGTGACAGGTTGAAATAAAGCTTAATGAACAAGCCACCAATTTGATAACCACTGTCAATGGGGAAGTGGTCGAACCCACAGCTGCAGGTGAGTTTCAATAAATCTGTGGAAGTACAACTTTGAGAGAGTACTTTCATCATTTTCATTTCAAGGACAATTTCAAATAAGCAACGAGGTCAATACCCAGACTGGGGTCCAAGCAAGAAAAACTACAATTAAAGGTCTAGAGTTATGTCCGTCAGCAGAAGTTCTGCGAACATTTTGATTGCGATTGTTATGTTTTGCAAAGTAAGTTGTTCGAGCAGAGTGTTGAATTTGAATTTCTTTTCAATGAAAAGAATTTTTTCAGATTTATTCAGTCATAAAATTCAAATCTAATGCAGGTAAAGGCTGAAGAAGAAGTTTGTAATAACAATGGTCTAATTGTAGCGAGATATAGCACTGTGGAATTCGTAACAGGATTATTATTCCATGCGATGTGATACAAAAACACTACCAATTGCTCTCTAAATGGAGCCTGTTAACCATTGTTTTATTTTAGGATTGGTGATTAGTGGTCTCACAGTGAGGAAGGTCGAGGATCCTCCTAAGGTTGAAGCGATATTTGCTTCTGATATTCAGTTCTCTGTCGGTGTGAACAACAGTTTTGTTGACGTCACTGTCCAGCTAAGCCAGGACTTCGAAGGAAAAACAAAAGGATTATTAGGTAAGCCTACTAGTTGAACCTTTTTTTCTCTCTCAGAATAACCTTTGACAATCATATATTTTAGCGTTAACTATAATGAAACACTCATGAGTGAGAAAAACGTTTTCGTCTGGTTATTGCCGTATTTACTAGCCAGCAACCGATAAGCTGAGGGACATTTGGTTCTCTCTTAACCCTACACGGCATTGTTTTTTTCTGATTTCCTTGGTGCCAGTTTGACGCTCCATTTTGGAGAGTGGTATTACAACTGTGTGAATTGTATTTGTTTGGACTCAAAAGCTGTTGTAAATGGTTCAAAGTTGCTACATGGATGCCCTCCACACTCCCAAAGAAAAGAAATGGCATTGAAATTTTTTTAGGTGGTGGGGGTGGATGGAGTGGGGTGTAACCGAAGATCTGACTGGCTATGAGCAGAGCTGATTTGGTTAATGCTAGTCTAGACATGTGTCTCTATGGTCAGCCTAAGCCACAAACATCAAAGGGGCCCCACCCCATTGAAAGGGTCCTTGGAGGGCATTTCCATTGGTAAGTGCATGCCTGATGTCAATCACTTGGGACTCACATCTGGAAGATGTTTGTACACAGTTCAATGGGCCTTACTCAGGGACCGGCTCGAATATTTTTTTTATGGCTAAGGGGAAGCCCCTGTGTATACAGCGACTAAACCAGGCAATTCAGCATGAGCAGAGGTAGTTTATCATGAAAGGTTTTGATAGTTGGCCGTACTTTTTTAATAAATTAATTAGCAAAACGGCACTCCAAAATGGAGCTGATATTGCTGTAGACAGGGTCTAATAGAGGGGATATTTTGCGTCAGCGTAACCAGAATATTTCCCTTAAACATAATCAGTTGTAAGATTCACTTTGTACTATTAAATGTAGTGGCAAAGAAACTGTGGAATAATCCAGTGCCTAACTTCAAGCAACAATTAATCACTAATTCACCAGAGATTAGTCACGAATTCATCAAAGATTAGTCAGGTTTCAACTTCACTAGGATGTGTATATTATTTTATCAGGTGTCTGGGATGGTAACAAAACTAACGATATCCTGAGACGAGATGGCACATATCAGTCACCGTCTGGTAGTAATGGAACGATGCTGGAAAATGACTACTTTGAATTTGGCGAAACATGTAAGCAAATATCGAAGAATCCGGTGGTATTCAATGGTTGGAAATTTGCCTTGTTGTTTAACCGGGGAGAAACAAAACAAACAAGTTTCTTTTTCTTCCTTCCTTTTTGCCAATGTAATAGGAGTCTTGAGTTTTCCACATGAGGTACCTGATTAGGTAAACCAGACTCTTCACTCAATATAGCAATCACTTTAAAAGGGAGATAACAAAAGTACCAAAAAGTCGTGCTGGAAGTTTACCAAAAGAAGTTTTATTTACCGACAAATGCATTGAAGCCTTAATTGCATTTTAATCTATTTATTGTGGAGAAACTTATGTGTGGATTGGATAAAACATTTCTTTGACATTTGACAGGGCGTGTCTCCGTAAATGACTCCCTATTTTACTACCAGTCTCCTGAGGAGAGCTGGGAGAAAATCAATGACCTGTCATTCCGACCCAAGTTCTTGGATGAACTGCTTGCCGGTGTGAGTGAGGAGGAACGACAGCAGATTAAAGAAGTTTGTGGCGACAATAAGGAATGCATTTACGACGCGTTGACATTGAATGATACGGACATAGGAATAGCCACGCTACAACTAAATGAGAAGAACAGCGAAGACTTAAAATCAGCAAGTACGCGTGTTTCCTTTTTTATAGCATGGCTACAAAAAAATTCTTTCACGCTTAAACGTGGCATAGCAAGGGGTAAACAGTGTGATCTTGCAAAGGTTTTGACAACGTCTCTCTATTAAATAAGGGACTCAAGGTCCTAGTTTAATGGAAGTAGAAGTTGATGCTTTCCTTTTTGATCGTAATAAATATGATTACTCGATGATATTGATATAGTAAGTAAAGAGTTTTTGAAAGCTCTTTGTTATCGACTCGTTTTTGTTTTCGATCGGAAATTGTTTCCCACAAATTTGAAGTCATTGAAATGAATATCGAAATACGTCTCTTTCTAGACGTTGTTTATCGAAAAAACAAACTGTCCAGTTTTGGTTCTGTGACACTTCATGATATTTTAACTGCTGATTCATTTACCAGTTTGAAACAATTAACAATTAATCTGAATTTACTTATGCTTAAAGACTGACCTCGCTTAATTTGTAGCGAACTATCCGCCAGAACTGACACAATTTGAAACCATAGAAGTCACCGTTGGTCAGAACTTTACGCAGCAGATAGATGCTACTGATCCAGACGGGGACGAGGTTGCAATCTATCTGCTAGAGGCGGTTGAAGGTGCAAGTATTAAAGGTTAGAGACACCAGTAAACAAATCTCACATTTTTTTTCCTTTTTCCAAAATTGCTTTTTCTTTCATTATCACCGCCATTCAGTGTGCTTTGAGTCACTCCAGTGGTATTTCTGGTCTTGTGGCAGAAGGAAGATAAACTGGTGTATTTTCTATAAAATAAGCAAAATTCGTTGTGACTTTTAATGAAGAACTTCTTTAATGTGGTTTTGCAAAGTATTGTTTTGTTCAGTATTCCCAAACAAGGAAAAAAAAATAATCTTCTGACCTTATCTTGTATTACAACAGTGGGCTCTTCAAGTAGGCTTTTAGCCATTTTCGCTGTTGTTAATGGATCTATTAATAATTGACAATACACAAATTGTTTTGTCATAGATGGCCTTTTTAACTGGACTCCTGCTGATAAGTCGAAGGTCAGGATTGGATTTCTAGCTTCAGATGGCAAAGCAAATTCTTCACTTGAGCCAATAGTGAATCTTTGTGACTGCAAAAATGACGGAACGTGCCTTTTGAATCAGTATGCTGAAGGCACCAATCTCATTCAAGATCGCTTTGGGGTGAGTATTTTTGGTGGGTTCATAACCCTTTCGCACAAGTCCACATTTCTTGTACCCCGGAAAAGGGAATTCGGTATGTATTTATACTATATTTTAACAAACGTTAATGATATATAAAACAATGACCTACGAAATTTGAAATTTGCTCCGTTATTTCGTGCGTAAAACACCGCCGATATGAAAGAATACCAGACGCCTTTTGATAAATGTGAGGCCTACATTAAAACGTGCGCTGAATATGTATCACTTCCTATTTTTGTGGTGACTGCTTTACCCGTCAAATTCAGTACACTTTATCAAATTTTACACAGTTATAAAAGTATTACAGGTGTTTAATCTTCAAGTCTAACAAATAGTCCAGAATTCTCGATCGTTGGAGGATTCTGGACTGTAAGGTGAATAGTTTTGAGACTTTGAAGTTACGTACGAGCCGGTTCACCGTCAGTGTGAATTTGAAAAAAAAAAATCAGGTACTGCTGTGCCAGTGCACCTCGGGATGGACCGGTGAATTCTGCCAAGTGGACTACAACGCATGTGCAGTCAGTCCATGCTTCAGTGAAGTGACCTGTACAGATGAGACACCGCCATCTTTAAACAGCACTTGTGGACCTTGTCCAGATGGATTGGAGGGAGATGGGAAAACCTGCACTGGTAATTTAATTCAATTGCATAATTCTATCGTAATAACAGTGATTTTTATTGTATTTATTATTTTCTAAATTGATTTCTTTTAAAGAATACATCATATTGTTTATTATCTTTGCTCCACCGTAATTTAATTTGCAGTGCGTGCTAAATGTTATGCCAAAAAATTGATATGAACTCTGAAAGTTGAGCTAGTCAGGAAATGATTCACACATTCGGCTGTAATTAAGGATCCACAGTAAAAGGATAATGGGTTCTTCAAAGTATTCAGCCATGAATGCTAGAATTCATCGGGAAGAAATGTTGCGTTGGCAAGTCTTTCACATTACGCCATAATTCTAATCCTTGCCACCATGCGTTGATTGACCGTTTACCTGGTTTCAGCCACAATCCTGCACGCTACATAAATATTGGCAGGCTCAGTATTTCATTCTATTTCGTTTCCAGGATTATTGACCAGCATTTATAACATACAATCTTATTCAGTGTAAATATCAGAAATTCGTTTGGGTTTATTGAACTACAGATATTGATGAATGCGAGAGGTACAAAGATGATCCAGCTCGTGGGTGTGAGCAGATTTGTGAGAACACTTTGCGAAGTTTCAACTGTAGCTGTAATTCTGGATATTTTTTGAAAGAAGATAAAAAGACGTGTAGAGGTGTGTTCATTCGTATTGAATTAAATTTAAGGTTTATGGCAGCACCAGATGTATCTTTTTATCCAATCTTGAAATCTTTGATATCTCATATGTAGATTAACCACGTTGCGTTTGAAAACAGAATCAAAGAAAGACAAAAAGGTCATGATCTACAGAAGTTACTTTCTAGGCCTTTAGGCTACCACAAGAGCCCATATGCATGGGGGTAATGCGCTTTCTAAATGTGTAAATGGTGGCAACACTGTTGCCAGTATGTAAGGTAGACGCGCCCCTGAGGTAAGATAGACAACGCCTTTACTGAATTGGGTTCTTACCCTATATGAGCCCCAAGCTGTGCCAAGAGACGGCGCAATTGTCTCAGCAATGGGGGCTCCTTAAGTCAGAACTGAACTTAGTTAGTTCACGAATGACAATGAAATACATGTTACGCTCGCGTCGCTACCAATAAAACAAACACTGGCAGCCAACATGGCACTTTTCAACCAATGAGGGGGTGCTTCGTCTGCTAGAAGTGGCATCCACTAATTCATGTAAAACGTTTAAGTATCCAATACATATACTTTATAACTGACCTTGCTGGCTTTTTTCATCGGATAGTTTGATTTTGTAGCTGTATTCTGCATGACTTGTAACATCGTCACTCACACAAATGTTGTTTTTAACTTTCGAACTGGTGTAATTAGCTCTGTCGGCTACAGACTGCTTGAACGAAGGGGAATTCGATGAAAGTTCTCATGAATGTATTTGCCCGTTGACGCACTACGGACCAACCTGTGCAGGTATATTACACCACATAGAGAGTTTACATGGATGTCATCGTACTGGCCAGTGCTTTTGTTCAACAGGGTTTGTACAAAGGAGGTATCTTTGTGGAACAAAAGAACTGCCCTGCAAGATGGCTACCATGCAAAGCCTCTGTTGATGAGAAAAAACCTTAAATATTCTGAACCTGATGTTATTTTCTGATAAAGCCATTGCTAATTGAAATTGTTTCTAAATGGCCTCTGTAATCTGTTTTCGCCATCAGGAAATAGTGTTGCTGGATCTGTGAATTATCCTTATGATAGAATAGATAAAGGATCTGAGAATCATAGAACCATCGTCTGGAGAAACACTAGCTTTCTGTTCTTATTGTTCCCTACTCTTTGAAAGGCCACGAAACATAGATCACTTCCAGGCAACGTCTTATCGTAAATGTACAGCCCTTACCTGTGGCACGTCTAATGGTTAAATATTGCGTATGCATGTAATATCTTTACGATGTTGATTTCTTTACAGATGAGAATCCTTGTTTGTCGGATAACACTTTGTGCTCTGAGGAAGGACAGCACTGTTTACCAGAATCAAACACAGTTGGCTTCGCGTGTTACTGCCGTGGCTTCGATGGATATGTAGAAATCACCCTTGACGGCTCGTGTGAAGGTCATTTGATTTGCCGTTTGATTACAGCTTCGATCGATTAATTAAAAGTAGAAAGTCATTTTTGTCTATGATGGAGGCGGGTCCATGCAGATTTAAAACTGGTGCTTATTTTAAAGAAGGATACAAGAAAATGCGCCTTTTAAGCATCTGTTTAATGCTTTATTTGTGGTTCTGTTTTCAGCATACGCTTCCGTTGGAGTAATGCTGACTGCTAAAATGGAATTCGTAATTGCCTACAAGAATCCAACTTCTACTGCTTTCAACAAGACTGCTGCCATGTTCGAACGAGCGGTATTATACATTGAAAGAAGTCGTGATTTTAAGCCTCACGAAGTCCTATAGTTTCACATACCATTTACAGACTTCTTCCAGGACCATTGTGTGAATATGCAGATAATTCAATTTTGGTTGTCAGTGGACAGAGATTCAGATCGAAAACTTTCAAACACTTTTTGAAAACTCGACATGGGGGTGTTCAATGTTCTTTGTTGTTGGCAACCTTTCTCTGAAGAATCCGCAAAACAACTTTACTTTCTATCTCTCAGATTCAGGAAAGGCTTCAGGAGATGCCATCTACGAACAACCTTGTTAAAATACAAGTAACAAGGATGGATGAAGGAAGTCTGATTATCACAGCAGTGGTGTCGTATGGGACAATACCCTCTCTGGACGAAGTGAAGAAAGTTCTATCAAGCAGTGATTCCCTGACTGACGGAAATACAACGATTCCAATTGATCCGGACTCCGTTCGTGTGCAAAGTAGTTCAGATTCGCTTTACATATAGCTGCATTAATTTCTTTGAACTATTAAACTTTAATATCAAACACATTTGACACAATCGACGACGAAAGTAGATTTAACTCAAATGTATATTGTATACAATTTAAGACAATCTCTCAATCAATTGATATCAATCCAAATCATCAATTTTGGGTCACATAACGATTATACACTGTGTTTCTTTCTGTTTTTGAAAGGTGTTTTCCTTTATCTAAAGTCATTTACTCAAGATTAATTCTAGAACTAAGGTTTTGTATCGCCCAAAGTTACGCGCCTATTTTTCATATCTTTCCTGTTGCGAGATTTTGCCATCACCTAATTTTATTTTAGAACCTTCTTTTATTTGTATTATTGTCACACTTTTTCCTCAGAGCTGTCAAGCGACTGTTTGTTGGAATGTCTGAACGGGGGGACATGCGAGAGGCCAGATTACTCACCTATAGACTCATGCAGGTAATAAAATAGAAAACAAAAAATGGTAGTACGGTATTGTGTTTAAATATTTGTTTGGTCATATCACAAGAGAGGGAACAATGTAAGCAATCGGTTTATTGACTAATGCAGAACAAACGAAGGGCAGGTCAACAAGCAATTTTGTTTTCGTATTGAATTGTTACACCTTCTTAATATCAAATGAAAGCCTAACTGCGTTTAAAAGAGGCGCAAGAAGAAGCTCATTGGTCCAACAGCCATTCACTTTGTTAAATCTGTTAATCCAACAGATGAGTGAAACATTGATAATGTTTATAATAAACCATACTCAACTCTGAATCACTAAGTACCTTCTTATTTATTTCAGGTGTTCCCCTGGCTATGCAGGCGACAGATGTGAGACGGGGGTTGAACCAGTACCAGGTATTATCGCACTGAGGTTGATTTTAAAAAATGCAGGAAATTATATCGGGAGATAAGTTCACGGCCGCCCAAGGGTTTGCATGTGATCGTCCATGTTTGTTTGGTTTTAGTCGTGGCTTTATCTCAATCAATGGGGAAAAATACCAAAACCTGCACAAATATTACCACAGGTGTCGTGAAAAGAAGTTGTCATCTTGACTGAGAAAAGATTCAATACACGTGACCCCATTGGGTCCTCCTATTTATCTCCGACTGACAAAAGACCTAAATACACAAAACTTTGATTCTAGTGTTTGGGCATGAATGCATACAGCCGTTATCTTACCGTTTATTACACTCCATGTTTGGTATATCCAACATGTTTGAAACAGTTTTTCATTACTGTGGTGTCGTACTTACAAGCGGGAGCGAGGATACATTTGTATTTGTTGTTTAACGCAGATGGTTTGCCTACCGTCGCTTTGGCTCTCATCGTCGTGGGATGCATTCTCTTCGTCTTGGTTATCATTCCCGGGGTCATATACATTGTCATGAGAAAGAACTTCAGGAAGAAGGTTGATAAAGTGGTAGACGGCGAAGAATCTCGCGTTCAAGAAGACATCCGAGAACTTAGCCTTCATGGGGAGCTGTTTAATGACGGCTATGAGGCTACTGAGTTTAGTGAAGAGGGTATACGAATGGAGTATCTCAGGCGGGGTATGCCGGCGACGGAGTTGAAGGTAAGAAAAACACATCTCGCTTTCATTTGTCTACTTGACCCAATGAGAATGCTTCCAGTCAAAGTGATATGCGTTTACCAGTCCTACGGCTTACGACATTACTAATGCTGTAAGTTTGTGACTCTTGGTGTGATCTGGATGGTACACCTGTTTGCGGCTTGAGACTGGTGCTGCTGGGCAAGCATAAACAAATGAACAAGCCCACCAGCATGACGCGTCACAACTAACATTAGTAAACCAAACACTTAATTTTGTCTTATAGACGTCTCTGTAGCGAATAAGGATTATATATGAAAGTTTCACGATTACTGATGACGTTACATATAACAAACAATTTGTAAAAATGATACCAGTGGTGAAAGTAAAAGTGGTGTGGTATCAACAGGACAGTGCAGAGCAAAGAACAGCCGCCTATTGGCGTATTTTATCAAACTGTGACTAATCGTCCTTCTGTCCTTGGAGGGAGAAATATTCTTTCGCCATCACGTGGTTGGGTTTGATAATTTAACCTCTTTTCAGTCCAACCGCACCAATAGACCGATTGTGCCCGCTAAGTCACGTGACCTATAGTGAGTACCGTATTAAAAATCAACAAACACGTCGTCCACCAAAAGCAAAGTATTTAATAAGTATCATTTACCAAAAATAAAGCTGACAATAGTTAGAGTACTTAAACTACTGAAGTGCTAGGTACTATACCGTAATTCGGCTTTGTTGTTGTTTGTGAACAGCGCTCAAAACACATCTTGCTGTAATTAGCAGGCGCAATCGGTCTTTTCAACCGAGCACTCCCCAGTCTGTTCTTTTGACCTCTTGAGTGTTTAACTATATGTACCATTTAAATAAAGTAATTTTGCCATTTCCGTTGATTTGTAGCGCACGAAGAACCAGAATAGTTATATTCCGTCTTTTCATCGCAATGACATGGAATGAGGTAGCTGTTAAAGCCCTTGGTGAGTGAAAACAAAAGCTAAAGTAATCGTCGAACCGCAAACCCCATCGGGCTACATTTACATTTAATGAAAACAGAGAAAATTATAACACTGGTATTGAATATTTTCGACCGCCGTTTTCTTCTTCATACACAGATGAAAGGCACGTCCAATCGTTCTTCTGGCTTACACACTGCAAAGGTGGTTCGTTGCAAGTCAGCAACATAAATTAAAACCAGTTTTGCAACTTCGTACCTTCCTGTGAATTTCAATTACATGAAGTCTTCCGACCGTGGCAGAGGGATTTTAATAGTTATACCTGTTAACGACCTATTTTTCTGCGAGCAAAAGTTTTGCTAAAATATTTCTAATTTTTATGAGCAAATATAAAGCAAAATAATGAATATTTTTACCATTATTACACGGAATTATGTCGAAGTTTTCCATTTATACGAAGTCCACTTGTTTGGTTGTTTATTTGGTTTTTGTTTTGTGTGTTGTCGTTTTGCTTTTAGTGTATATACTCAGAAGGAAATGTCTGATTGTGGTAAGAAAACTGTTTGAAATTTAAAACTTTTGTTGTAAATATAGTGCTGCATAGGGGGAGAGTGCATGAAATATCTGGACATCAGCAGAGATCCGAACAGAAAATGAGCCAATCAGCTCAAATGCTCCGACGAAAGTGATTTACTCAAGCCCTTGGTCTCTCCCGTTCCTTAAAGTAAGCCCAAAATTGCCTCGGTCTTCAAAACCTACTCTAGAGAGGCCAAGATGAAATGCTAGTTTCTGGTCAGTCCAGATAAATCATCAAGCAATAATAAAACATTTGAAACGGCATCGGCCTCAGATAAAGTCAGATGTCCTTGTGATTCACTCTTCATTGTGTCATTGTTTTCCTGATATCTTATCAACAATTCCCATGTCCTTTTTTGGAGTGAGATGTATTAGACACGTTATCGCGTGTCATGCCACAAGTTGGAAAGTGTCATAAGTTCCAATAGTTCTATCATTCTTGTGTTTGAAGAGAATTTTTAATTTTTAGATTGTAACGCTTAAAGCATGAGGTCTTGATGTATATTACAGTAGCTTTCTGGTTTCTTTCAGAACTTGATTTTACTATCAAATGTGTTGCTAGCACAAAGGCTTCTGATAAGCCCTCGATGCCATTTAGAAAGACATAAAATTTGCTTAATTCTGTTCGGGTATCCTCTGTTCGGCATTGATTGAAATGAGTTTGTCATATATTCATTTAGTTCATTTTACACCAATCAGGAAATTAACACCATGATTTTGCAGCGAAACGTCAGCTTAAGTAATCCTTTATTGGGTCGTTTTGCGTTTGATATTCCTCAATCTGTGTGAATGCTCGTGATGATTAAATAGATTGAAAGCAATGCAAAAACATTCGAAGTTGGAATTTTGTTGGAAATGGGACATTTAAAAAAAAGCATAATTGCTATAATTTGTCATTTTTGTTTGATGTTATTGTTTTGGGCGAAACTCTGATCTTGAATGGATGCTTGACGTCCATATTTTTGAAATATGGCTACTAAGTCAGCAGATTAAACTAAGACCTGTGTGCTTTTTCAAAAGAAATAACAAGCGGGTTATACGAAAAAATGTGCTTTAAAACAAACACCGGCACGCAGAGTGAAGCCTTGTAATGTATCAAGAATTTTTGCTTTTACACAAGCAAACAAACAAAGCATAACTCATTGATATCACATCAATCATCCAGTTACCGAACAAAATAAACCAAAGAAGTCTGAGTACTTGTCCAAGCACCTAACGTTAAACAGCGTATATACATAATGTGACGTCATGCCTTACTCTGTAATTAAGACCAGCCACTAAGGCGTATGAAGGCACTGAGATGTCAAATATTATGATAATTTGAAAAATAAAAGTACATCTCAAGCTCGTAAAATTTTCTATCGGTATTGTGTTAAAAGACAAGGATGGAAAAATTATAATCCAAATATGATTTAAACAACTGCAGGGAATTGATTGTTAGAAAATAAGTGGTGTAAATTAAATGTACTACACTACGCTTGTGAAAATCTCACAAAACAGTTTATCGAGAGCCATTAAACTAGTCACAACTGCAAATATACATGGCAAAAACTAATAATGCTGGACGGACACAACCCTTTTCACTGTAACACTTTATCAGTTCGTTGCTCACCCTTGCAATACTTCCCCCTGGAAATTTCTCCTCTGGAATAGTGCTTTGCCTCCTGAAAAAGGACACCCATGACTACACGATACAAAGATGATCAATATTATGGTTATCATCACTTTATGATGATGCCAGTAATATTAGATAGAATCAAATTTAGCCTAGGTGCCTCAAAAGAAATTACAATTAGCAAGTGTTCATGAAGTGCTCGCATGGAAGTAGAAAATCATGTCATAAACCATCTGCATCACTGTCTCCAGTCTGTTAGGGAAAGAAATGTAATCATTCAAAAGGTTAGAAAGGTCAAAAATTAGGGTATTTTATATCTTAGTATAGAATGCACATTTTGATCAGTTTTGGTAAAATAAAACACAGAACAAAAGAATAAAATCTCCAATGACTCACTTGGCACCCAATTAATTGCCGGTACTTGGCAAAACTAATATTGCATGGCAATGCAAAGTTTTAAACCAGGAACACAGTGACAGTCATCGATTACCTAAGAACCATTTTACCAAATGGTTAACGGGTTTTGGAGGACAAACTCAAACAAGTCTTTCAAAATCCAAACTTGACTTCTGGAAAGACTGCTTACGTTCTTGATACTTACAGAAAGTATGCATTTCAAATCTCTTTGACGTCTTCCTGAATGAAGATCCTCCGCACGTGCATTTCCTTTGGAAAATAACAAATCCACACGTGTGTAAACTATTGGCCTTTTACTAATAAAATTGTCAAAATGGACGAGTCGTTTACTGTAAAGGAGCTGTCAAGTCCATAATGAAAAGATTCCACTAATATCAATATATGACGTTTTCCAGCTTATCGCTTTTCCAACAGTGCCAAAATGAGTTTAATGCAAGCAAAATTAATTTGTTGCCGAAGTTTTAGGAATAAGAAATAATTGGAAAAGAAAAATACACTGATCAAAAAAACAAGGCAGTAAAATATATAATTAAATTTCCTTTCACAGCATCCAAATAGTGACTTTACTGTTTAAAATGCGCAATGTTAAGCTCGGTATTTGCTACTTGCTGAGCATTCCTTCTAGGATAATTTTATTCATGTTCAAGCTGTCTTAATCAGTTCAGATTAATCATATTCAATTCAACAGACCAAGGTGATGGTTGAAAAGCATGGAGAACTCGACATGATTTACAGCCGAGATAAATCCTTCTTACCCCGTGAAACTTTGGTGACGGGGATCTGTGTTGGTACATGCTCTTCATTTGCATCCCCTGTCCTTCGACAGCCACCATGGTGTCATCGTCATTGTCATTGTGACTATACATCCCCTGTCTGTAGCTGGGGTCAGGCTCTACTTTATTCTTTTTTCGAATCACCAGGTAGAAGAGTACAGCCATCACAATAACCAGGCCAAGGGAGCTTACGATTATAACTACCAAGACAGCGGTAGACAAACCTGATTGAAAAAAGAAACTTGTGTGGTATTTATAACTTGATGCCAGTGGTGTCAATCTGTGTCGGAAATTTGGGGAATGGGGGATGGGAAAAAAGTGAGGGTTGAAAGGTAGGGGCAGTAGACACCATATACAGAGGCCGATTATCAGGAAACTGGTGTACATCTTAAATATGTATTCCTTTTTGGAGTGATATTGAATGCATTTTAGTGGATTGATGGATGTGTGAAAAATTCTTCACAATCCGCTGTAAATTTTTTGCTCACCACAAATAAGTGGGGAGGGGGAATGATTCAATAGCTCATCCCCCTAAAAATGTATAGGGGATATATACCCCATGCTTAACACAACAAATCGTTTTGACTTCTTTAAAAGCCCTATTGTATTTCGTATCTCACTTTTGAAGTTGTGACAAGGAACACTAAATCCTTTGAGGCAAATATAATCTGAACATTAATTAGACTATAGGATACATTATTACTGGAAACAAATTACTACAAAAGATTTCGTTCAGTTAAAGATGCTTTATTGACGCGTTTACCTCCACTGTCAACCGGCCCAAGTAGAGTCTCACACTTTTCTCCTGTATATTCGGCTGAGCATCTGAATAAACACAGTTTCGTACAAGGAGAAACTCTTTACGTTAAAGACAAATTTATTCACATTGCATTTTGTCTAATATAACAAGTGTATTCTGTTCATATATATGTCATAAATGACGACTGATGTAAATGACTGGACGTAGCTCGATAACAATTTCCCATATTTTCCAAAATAAATAAACACCAGACAAATTTTACACATGTTTAGGAACGTTATGGAGCGTCTGGGCCGGGGTACACTGGATTATTCCACTCATTTAACAAACATTCTATCCAATCTTTGTTTTCTCAATTACCTGCAAGCAAACCATGGAGAGAAAGTAGGTCTTTCACAGGTCCCGCCATTGTAGCAATGAGTTGCCGGGCAAGCTGGTAATACCTCTGAAAAAATAAACCAAGGACAAACGTATCACACGAAAGTTTCTAAAATAAAGGGACTTTGACATAGCGAAGTGTAACCTGCTTCCTTCGGCATCCCAAAGCTTGGAAAAATTCTGCATTCTGGGCAAGACTTAGATAGCCCTGGCTCTCTAATCGAAACAGTATCTTTCCCGAAGTCAAGATGATACGGAAACCACCACAAAAGAAGCAACAGAGAAGCGACAAGCAGAATGACATACAGATCAAGCAACCCAAAGAAGTTTGACATGCACTGACCCGAATACGATCTATTGTCTTATTTCAAACAAGTCTTCACATAAATGGATTGTGCTTTAACAAAAGTGTAGGCAATCTTGGTTACCTTGCGCGAGAATGGAGTCGGGATCGATAAAAATGGTTATATTGCCGTCAGTCAAGGTATCACTACTCGATAGCACTCTCTTCATTTCCTCTGCAGAGGGCGCTACATTTTCAGGGAATGATATTACCGCAGTAACAACCAAACTGCCCGATTCCATTTTGGTCACGTGAACAGATGTCGCGTTACTTGAGGTCTCGGATTCTCGAATCTTGTTCATTATCTAAAGACAAATCAAATGTTATTCATGTAAAACATCACAAGTAATGCAAGTTTCTTTTTATCAGTAAAATCAGTGCCCCATTCATAGTAATAATTTCATGTATCAAACGAAGAAGTTTAGCGAATGAATATTTAACGGCAGTAATATTGGAGTTGATTTCCGTACACTCATAAGTCATGTTCAGTGTTTGCATATCACTTTTCTCCTCATAACAGTAACAATAAAAATATATATGACAAACTACAATACTACTGTAATAACCGAACGTACCGCCCGTTGGAACACCCCCGCTGTGTTTTTGAATGCGCTGCTGGTGGGATTGAGGTAGGCTTTGACAAATTCCAAATACGTGGTTATCCTAATTCCAATCGACGGATACCCTGTAAAAAAAAGAAACTAAAAGAAATGAAACATGAGCAGGGGGCTGTTCAGCTCTACATCTCAGCTGATTGGTATTGTTATTATTGTATCCTTTCAAATAACATATGCATCGGAAGAAAATAAACTTGCATGTGAAAGATACATTTGATCGTCTCATTCAATGTAGGAGCGTTGTGGAAGAAATATTTGAATATAAAAATATCTTACATTTACACGAGCCATTGCTGATTTGGGAATATCCCTCGAAGTCGCGACAGTGGCATGCATAGCCATCTTCGTTTGAATCTGGCAAGCAATGCCACCCTGTTTCCGCACACAGACTGTTGTTAGCCGAACAAGGGTTGACGTCTACAAAGAATGAACATACCAACATTTATGACATCAAAAAAGAATGACAATGACAATGACTTCACGAACGTTGGCAAACATGTTTTTATTTTATTTCTGTTCAACAATTATTTCATTCCCTTTACCAAAACCTGTACAATTATTGAGACAATTTTGAAGCGTGTACCTGCACATATTGGCCCAGAATGCGTCAAGGGACAAGAACATTCTTGGTGTTGTGCATCATATTCCCCTCCGTTCACGCAACTTGAGTTGGACAACTCTGAGGGCACGAGGTTGAAACAAAAACAAATTGAACGACATCATTCAGCTGGGTCGAAAAAAATGCAGCATCACTAATGGGAGAAAAAAAAGATAAGGAGCAATGCTGCAAATAGTTATTATTCCATAATAAACACATCAACCATGTCAACTCTTTTAGTTTTGCCCATTAAATATGGGAAGCTTTCCTGCAAGGATATATTTCTTCACGATACTGCATTTCCAAATAAGTGTTGTGGAATTCAGAGTTCAGATGTATGCGACAAGGTGCAATGAAATATCCGAGAGTTATGTCTGGTAACTAACGCATCTGTACCCCAGACAGAGTCACTGTTTATGAAAAGTTGACTGAAAGAACAAAAAATGATATTACTACGTCGTTATCTTTGTCCATAATTGAGCACACTATTTATAAGCGCACCTCGACAAGTCTTCCCATCGTCGAGCAAATAATACCCGGTATTGCAGCTGCACTTGAACCCCTGTAGGAGGTTCTCACAGATATGGTCACATCCGCGTCCTCCACCACTAGCTGGTTCGTCTACGTACAACTTGCACTCATCAACATCTGTAAGTGAATGATCCAAATGGACGTTGTCATTAATGTACAATGGTGACACTCGTTTTACACATGCGAAAAATTGAACTACTTGCCTTAAGGTACCAGAATGGTCATGTTATAATTTCTGTGAGTTTGCTGAAATATCCAAATTGTAACTTTTTCTTTTTATAATGTTAAACCATGCATTGTGAGCAGTCAACCAATTACTTGAGCAGACACTCGATCGACAACCAAATTCTCCTAATAATTAAAGCTCATTAACATAGTCTACCAGTGCAGCTTTTTCCGTCTCCCTCCAATCCCTCTGGACAAGGCCCACAGGTGCTGTTCAAAAATGGCGGCTTCTCGTCCAGACACTCTACACCAAGGAAACATGGGCTGTCGGCGCATGCGTCGTAGTCTACTTCACAAAATTCACCTGTCCATCCCGGCTCGCACTGACACAGTAACACCTGAGAGCAATGTTTGAACTGGATCACTCAAATGAATCAACCAGCAGGCACAACTGTCAGTTCGTGTGTATTCAATATCCTCTGCTGAAGCAAAGACTTCTCTCAAGCATTTTCTTAGTCTCGTCTCCCAAGTTTTACTTTGTAGTTTTGTAACAATAGCTTTTATTAAGCACTTATAACTGCAAAGGCATATTTCTTTCCCCTTGTTAAAAGTGAAGCTTCTCAAATAAACCTGTATCCAAGACGACTGTAGGATTTCCAATATATTTAACCTTGAAAGGATAAAGTCACTTAAGTACTGAATGCATTAAGAGGCTCGGGATTACACTCCCTATGGCCAAGTCAACCATAAGTCAGCTTTGAATTTAGAGCAATCGATGGAGAAACGCACTTAGTAATGGGATATTGATGAGATGAACACCATGACAAATGAACCGACCAAGTGTAACCATATTGGTTGGACGGCATGTATGCCTAGGCATGATGTTATTTAGCATTTTCTACTTACACCAAAGCGGTCTTGAATGAGATTGGTACCGTCAGCATACTGATCCAACAGGCACGTTCCGCCATTTCGGCAATCACAGAGATTCACTATCGGCTCGACTGTAGCATTGGACTTACCATCTGTTGCTAGGAAACCAACCTTGACCTTTGACTTGTCAACAGGAGTCCAGGTAAAAATTCCATCTATTAAAATACATTTAAAATAACAAATTAGACTAAAAAATTGTACAAATTTATATTTACTATGATTTGCCATAGGGCTACTAAACATATTCGGTATCGCGTAATGATTTGATACCAAGGGCAGATTCAAAGGAACATAAAAGTGAAGAAAAACATTAAATATAAGATATAAATAGTAGCACGAATCTGCACTTATTTTCCTAACCTTCAACCGTAATTGCTGCCCCGTCAACCTTCTCCAGCAAATGGAATGCAACGTCGTCCCCATCTGGATCAGAAGCATCTATCTGCAGCGAGAAGTTCTGTCCAACGGTGACCTTTATGCTTTCGATCTGCGTCAGCTTCGGCGGGTAATTGGCTTTGGAAATTAAAACAATTAGTTCATTTTGCATAATGCACGGATATAGTTGTTACACCAGCAGTTACCAGCCCAGTAGATGTCAATGAGCATTAAATCATGGTCTTGCACGTGATCGCATCCTTAGCTACTGATCCGTAAAGTGATTCTGAGCTAAAATCAAGTGCTTGAGACAAAGCCAACATCTCATGTACATCGCATTGATTTCAGAGACTTCAGACGATCACATAATCCTGTCTTGTCTTTCAAAATGTTAAAAAAAATACATTTACATGCAAAATAACATTTCTTTAATCCACTTACGTATCGCTTTTTTATCCAGAAGCGATTGATAGTCTTCACATACAAATGAAAACTCCCCCTTCTTTCCATTTTGATTCATTTCAATATTAGCCTATTGTTTGTTCTATCCCGTGACATGATTTGAACACTTCTGAGATTAAGAAGAAGTATGCTTCTCATTCTCGATGCATTGACAAAAGGCAAAAAATACTGCTCACTAGCTGATTCCAAATCAGCGGTGTTCTTTTCATTGAGTTGCAAGGTGGCCATTCCAATGTCTGTGTCATTCATTGTCAGCGAGTCGTACTGGCACTCTTTACTGTCACCACAAGCTTCCTTAATCTTCTGTCGTTGGTCCTCATCCACGCTGGCAAGCAGTTCCTCCAGGAACTTGGGTCGGAATGACAGGTCATTGATTTTCTCCCAGCTCTCCTCGGGAGGTACGTAGTAGAATAAGGAGTCATTAACGGAGACGCGCCCTACATCATGTGGGAAAAAGTTAAGCACTTAAACATTCTATCAACGTCAAATTAGGCCAAAAGGGTTAAACTGTCACTATGTCACAAGTATGCATTAAATCGCCAGTCACAAGGGCACTAATAAGTTAATACGGATCTACAAGTGTAAGTTGAAACACTTTGAACTGAGTATGGAGCATTTCTCCAGGATTCTTTTCTAATTTCTTGTTATTCCAACGGTGACAAAGGCTTTCCAAATAATCCAAAAAGTGCATGGTTGTAAAATGCCCCGTGTTCTCTCGCAGACGCGTTAAAATTGATAAAGCTTCAATTATATTTAGATGGTATTCCTTTATGCGCCGCCAAATTAAACCCACAAAGCCTTCCAATGGGCTATTTCGATAAATATTTCAAAAAGCTACGTCATTCGGAAATTATGCGCACGTGTCTGCCTAAGTCTGCGCTGATAGGGCAGATCTTGCACGCACGTCCAAATCACCTCAGACATCCTTTTTTGGACATGCGCTGTCGTAACACCGAACTGGCCTTTTAAAAAGAACAATAGGAAGCACTGTAACCTGGTCGCATTTCTGTAAGCCAACTTTGCAAAACCAGACGAGAAAATGCTGATCAAGGTCGTCATACTACAAGACAAAAGAAACTCGTTATATATTTGCTCACAGGTTTCGCCGAATTCAAAGTAGTTCCCGTCAAGCATCTCTCCATCAGCACCGGTGGCTTCTTGGTAGGTACCATCACGCCTAAGTACATCGTTAGTTTTGTTACCATCCCACACACCTGATGGAAGAAGTAAACGAAATACAGACACTTATCAACGTACACCTTATCGACAGGACACTCACTGATTGAAATCTTACCGGTGTAGATTCAATTCCTATCTCAGGAACTACCTCGTCAAAAATTTTATAAGGTCTGTGGTGTAACACAGGTTTTTCTAACTACTTTTAAATAGATTCAGAACACGCATTGCACTGGATGTAGGTATTGTATTTTGTTCCCTTCTGTTGTCACTGTTCGTAAGTGAAAGGCTGTGTTCAGCTACCCCTAGAAAAGTTTCATTCCACTGCGAAATATCAAGATGGTTGTTTACCAAGCAATCCTTTTGTTTTTCCCCTATGGTCCTGGCTTAGCTGGACGGTGACGTCAACAAAACTGTTGTTCACTCCAACAGAGAACTGGATATCAGAGGTGAATATTGCCACGACCTTAGGAGGGTTCTCCTCCCTCTTAACAGTCACGCCCTCGAGCATCAATCCTTAAAACAAAAAGGGAAAACCACTTTCAAATGGATTAGGCCCTTAGCACAAATGAGGTTCTACACGAAAATAAAGCTACCAAAAACGTAAATATGCTTCTGTGCATAGCTCAAGAACAAAATTTGGGAAATTTTGAAAACTGAATATGGTTTGTATTTTTTAAGAAAGTGTTTTACTGGGTATGAATCAACTAAAAGTGGGTGGAATCGGAAAATATTTCAAGATTTAAAACATCAAACGAGAGGAAGGAGGTTTCTAATATGAAAGAGGAGATTGCTCTATTCCCTTAATTTCTTTGAGAAAATTTAGATGAGATAACGACTTTACGTTTATGCTCGTCTTGTATCCAATGCTCGAATTATCGAACTGGCCAAAGGTAATATGTCATCATGCTACCACGTGTAATACCTCACACCTTACCGGATATTGTTGGTTGGACCACCAATCCGTTGACCGTTGTTATCAGATCTGTAGCATCGCTGTTCACCTTGATTTCAACCTTCCAAGTTTCAAGAAATGTTTATACATATTAATAATATTTAAAAACTTCTGTGAGGTTTCGGTTGATGAACATTGAGGTGCTTTTAACCGATTTTTACTTTCAAATCAGCGGACGGTTTGTACTTTCTTTTTTTACACGTAGCTTAGGCCTATGATGTACATTCTGCCACTATGAGACTATGACGAGATCTCGAATACATCACCTACCCGTGAATCACCAACACTGTCCAACGCAGCAAACCCACTGTACACGGTTGCATCAGTTAATTCCTCCGTTTTGGGATCATACGCCCTCTGCGTTCGACCTTGTAGCTCGAACAGTTTTTCGCCTCTGTCTACGTCTTCAATGAGGACAAGTGTATACTCTCCTAGGCCATTGAAGGTATAGTCTAGGCCATCAAGAGTTTTCACATGTGGGTCTCCCCAGAACCAGCCTGACATTCAAGTGAAAAGAATGGGGGCAAGGTTATGGTTCTTACCGATGTCTGTGACAAATAAAACAACCCAAGTACAGTTTACAAATTATAAGAGACAAGTAACTTGTTCAAAAAACAACAAACCCACATGGTCAAAGCTTTGTTTTGGTGCTACTATGTTTTCGAGCAACGAGGAGTAAGCGACTTTAGGCCTACTGCGTGCCAGCGTACAAAGACGCTAACGAGTAAGTAGAGAGTGAGCGTTGAATTCCTGTTGACCATAGGGTGTTCTAACTGGCAAAGGTGGAGGCGAGTGTCAGGTGTAAGAGCGAGCCCATTAGTGTATCACCACCAAAATACTGGAGTATGCTCGGTTTAACCCATAAACCAAAGGGACAACAGTGTTGGCATACCTACCCCAGAATGTCGGTACATAACGAGAGCAGCTCATGAGAGGACGTGTTTCAGTGTAAAGATGACACAAAGTCGACTTCTCACAGCAGTAGTAGCGTGAAAGGACTTCTTCGTCTGCAAAATGGTAATGTATCATTTACTGTACCAACACACCCGTACCACAAAAATTCGAGATTGCAACACCGCATCGCATCCCTTCATTCAATGTGAACAAAATGAATACTGCATTATGTTGTAACGCCTGGTAGCTTAGTATGGCTACAAGTTTCTCGCTAGATCTACCGAAGTAAAATAATAGCAGTATCGTGACGATGGACAGAGCATACTGTCCGAAATATTGAGAACTCTCCAAGTAACCAAGCATACCTGTTTTATATACAAAGTGTGGACATTCCTTTGTTCTCCTCTTGTAGTTAAGGAAACTTGAGGAAAATGCTCCTTTTATTCCAACTAGCATAACTCCTTCAATCTGGATTTTTGATGATGATTTCCTGGACTGTTCCTCTTCATTTTGCCACAAATAACCTTGACCCCCAAATGCCCCTGAGCTGTTTTTCAGAAAGGGGAAAAAATTGTCTGGACGTGTGCGAGTCCACACAACGCCATCGGACCCTACATTATGTGGACTTCTTTTGTGCAGAGATCCACACTATGCATGCCACGCCTGCAAACACACACTCACATGACAGATACTAGCTACTACGCTAACGCCAGCCCAATAACTTGCAACCTTCACCATGAAAAACTTCAAATCTCATCTTGATCTACCTACCATACCACTTTTGAAACACGTCAGGGGTGTAGAATATCGGGCTAAAAGGAAACCTCTCGAAGACAGAAGCAACTTTTGGATTCCTAATATCGTAGAGAAGATCACCGGTTGATTGCTTGTAGCAGCACTGTGGACCAGGAGTTCCCGGCGCTTGGAAAAGTCGCACGAAGCACACAACAGCTGAAAAAAGAATTAAAGAACAGTAAAGATAAAACAACCATCAACAGTATGAGAGTACAGGTGATTTAGTTTGCATTAATCCAAGACAGTATAATCCAAAGTATAAAAGGCTTTGGTGATGTGACCTTTATATATATTTCTTGCATCTACCTTTGTAACATACTTTATCGGTATATCGAGATCCTTTTATCGGTTTTTTCCTCAGACAGTTTGAAATGGATTATTGTATCTGACGTAGACTTATTGAGAGCCCACTTACAACTGTCTTGAAAGTATTCCCAGACTTCTCCTTGTGGGATATAATAGTCATGCCACATCCACAAGAAGCGCCAGTCGAACCAAGCCATGATCAAACTACAAGGGCACGTGTTAGCGAACGGAGGATAGTACACCTCGAAGATTGGGTAGGGTGCCTGACGACTGTGCCAGTTGCGGCAGGAAAGACGTGGGTTGACAAAGTCATCAAGGTGGTTGTCAAGTTGGAACACCCAGCGGCCTTTTTGTCCTGAATTTCCAACGATGCTGCCAGGACGGAAGAGTGAATTTTTGGGTACATCCAGGTAAACACTCTCTTTGGACATCCCGCAGGTGTAACCCAGGATGACGTTTTTGTTGGGTAAGAAGGCAGTGTCCCAATTCATGTTGCAAGGATCGTAGTTGAATACCACGTAGCTATGGATGGAATCGGTCAGCAGCAAGACTTGGAATGTGTTGGTTCCCTGCAAAATCAGCGAATCTGTTCATTATTAAATTTTCATGAGACTATAAATAAAACAAAACTTTGATTGATGCAAGCTTTGAAACTACATAACCTCCGTTGCCAATGCTCAGAGAGGCGATCTATCTATATCTGTTATTGCTAACGTTCATTGACCCCCTTTGGACCATCGAAATCAATGGTTAGGGTTAAATGAAAATGTTGACCACTTCTAATCATGGTGAAAAAAGTATCCTTATTCTGTTAGTGACCTTTTTGGAATCGTTATGCTGTAACGTTTCACCCAAAATTAATTCAAACCAGATCATTGGGTACTGTGGTAAAAATTTATACATTTTGAATATTATGATGGTATGATAATGAGCTAGTTCGCTATTCTCAAACAGCTGGCTCATTCGGGAACAAAACGCGCGAGTAAAAGCACATTTGCATAATGCGCGTTAACACTTGCGCCAATTAAGCGTTGCGTATTCGTATGGCCGAACGCAACGTACACGTATGTTATGTTAATAGAGTTAAGTTTTGTGTCGGTAAAATAGAATCGAATGGACGCATCGTGTATGCAACGCACCAAAAAAGTACATATCGAAAGACGAATTAGACTGAACACGCACATCCCAACAACCTCGGTCGGTTGGAATACCTAACTGGCTCATTATTTACATCCAAAGGCAACTCACAGATGCGAGAAGTGAAACTGGTTGAACATTACTCCACGTGATAACAAGTGCCCAATACGCCCTCAATGCATTTTCTTCAACCCCAATAATAGCTTTGATGGTGTTCAACATATCTTGGTTGGTGCTGGAATCGTACTGATCATACACCTAAAAAAGAGAGGGAAATAGAACTGATGATTTTTTTTATCTAGTAGACCTTATCAAGAAATGTGACATGATCGTAGTACCCGTCATTTACTTGTTTTTAAAAATCACACTAACTTTTTCTCGATTTGCGCAAATTTAGGACTTGTATTCCGTCAGTTTCATTTAAATGTATGTCAGCAGCAATGTGTAATGGAGACTACACGACGGACATCTGCTCAATAGCAAAATCAAACTTTTCAAGATCTCTCAAAGAGGACAGCAGACAATAAACAAAAGAAAAAAAGAAAATTCATTCGGAAAAACTAACCTGCCAGAAAACATTCTTTTCAGGAGTAAACGCATCAGCTCTAACGTCCGCCCAGAACGGAGCTATCATGTTAAATCCGCTGGGAAACTCTGAACCTTTGGCACTGGGAAACGCTAGTTTATCGAGCTTCTTGTCATTGGATAGAACTATCACACCATTGTCACTGAACTGTAAAAAAGATCAAAACCCTGAGAGTGTTACCTCAGCTCCTATTATCATCCCAGTACGAATGTCTTTGGTTAACCCGCAGCTCCTGTCAGTTGAAAGGAGCTGCGTTGGTCGGAAGTGTTCATTTTGTTGGCAGCAACGCAAACGTCACGCGTGCATTTCCTAGTCGTTTGTGAACCAGCGAAGTTCACTTCCGACAAAAGGAGCATCCGTTGCTAGGAAAATAACGCCCTCTCCTGATCCAGCTCGAGGCCCACAGGAAGTCCAAATAACAATTAAGGTTTTAAAACTTTAGAGAGAAACTCTGTGAGAGAATTTATGACATGTACACAATGATCAGAAATTGTTATAGAAGTGATGATACAATACTTACATAGAGCTTTTCGTACAGCTCATCACAGAAGGGAAAGAAATTCGGTGGATAAATGGTTGGCGATACCAAATCCTTCATTTGCTGCTGATCCCATTTAAAGCAGTAAAGAAAGGATGAAAATGTGATATGTCAGGTCTAAAAAATGCTGGTAAAAGTAATGTTCAAATATCTCCCATCAAATATTCCGGCACAGCATGTAATGTCGTCTGATACTATTTAAAATTTGTGTTTTCCTAAAAGTTTGCGATCTTGAGCCAATCTGGAGGGGCTCGATATAAAAGGGAAATGGTTAAAATAAGACTGAAAAAAACTTGCTAAAATCTATATTTTTCAAAGAGATAAATGTCAATATCTCTGTCCTGTGGGGGAAATAAACCTTCAAAAAAATTGGAATAAAATCGTAATTAAAATAAGTGCCATATATTTTTCGAATCTTAACAAGAAATGCTTAAGTAAGAAATAATGCTGATAGTTGTCTCGAAAATCGGCTTTGCAACAAAGTGTGCTAAGCATCAAGAAGAGTTGGGGTTAAGATCTTGGTTTCTTACCTTTTGTTTCGATTGTGACAGGAGAGAATCCCCGACTTCCATTCCAAATGGAATAAGGGTGCCGACTTATAAAGGAAAACAGATTGAGAACAAAAAAGGCGAGATTATTGAAGATTAAGTATGACAAGAGACAGAACTTGCCTCATTAAGGATTTCTTCCTTGAACACCGGAGGCATTATCTCGTAGATTTAACGGTTGTAAGCCAACATCACCAAAATTTACAAGTTAGGAATTTGTTGCAGAGAATGTAATGTTTGCCTTTGACAGCAGAAGATGTTATGACCTGTCCTCCAACCTCAGAATTGTCAACCTCGAAGTTTTACGGGCTTTACCCTTACACCGACGTATAACACTGTATTCTCAACGCCTGTCCAAGAGTTCGTGAAAAGATCCACAAGCTTACCCGGGTGGGACTCGTACCCATTAAGCTTGAAACATATTCACTTTTAATAGATCTTTCCAAATATTGTAGAGAACGCACTTATAGCCTAAAAGGGTGCATCTGACACGACGTATGCATTGAAACCTCCATACAGGGGAATCATCCTGGAATATTTCAGTATTTACCCGTGACATCGAATCCAAATGTCTGTGATGTTCCACATCCTGCGGAATTAGTAGCAGTACACGTGATGGTATGGGCTCCTGGTCTGAATACACCTCCCGAAGGTCCAACATCCGTTCCATCTCCAGAGTCTTCACAGATAACAACTATATCGTCCTCAGCGGTGTTGGGAACAACGTTCCAGGTCACCGTAGAAGTCAATTTCCCTGGATCGGTGCACTGATCGCCTAAAGACGGAACGTCCAGAGACGGATCCGCTGCGTATAGCAAATGGCCAATCCAAAAATATACAAACACATGATTAACAACGCAGATGTTTATCCCAAAATTGTAAATTGTTTTAGAAAGTATAGGTACTGCAAAGACTATACACTTTAGGTTTTGATCTCTGAGACTGTACTCTGTTTATGGTAATTATTGGCCATACTCTTAGCATTGGTTCGGACTGGGTGCCTACAGTAGGCACCTGTAAAATCAACCTCTACGAAACTGTAATTTTCTTGAAGGCTGAAGACAATAATACTTGTTCTTTAAATTGGATATATTCGGAGCGTGCCAGAAGTTACTTCTTAATCTTCTTGTAATAATCAATGCTCTAAGTAAATCGTTGTTAAATAGTTTGGCATATCAGGGAGCTGTGTACCTGGTGCAGTCAGAGCTGTACATGCATGCAGAGAGACTTCAGACTTTGGAATGGCTGTTCATTAGGTGTACATTACAGCATGCACCTGTTGTGTGCTAATTTATTGTCCCTATGCACTGATACATAATCCACCATTTTGGTTCCAACAATTGTGACACTCATGTCGCAACTCTCTACACACAGCTCTGGGTACCGTACTGTTCCATTAAACAAGCTCCGAAAAGGAACGACACCTTTATGTGTAAATCTTCTTGTTTGGTTTCTTACATGAAACGGTAAAGGAGATTAAGCATTGGGGGACAACGCCGCTTTGCGTATGCGAAGAGCAGACAACCTCCTGCTTCCCTTTCCCAAAAAAGCCACCTGCCAGGGTGACAGTGGCTCCGGTGGTGATTTCCTCGCAGATGATGTCAGATGGAAAGATTGGTTGACCAGATGGCTCGACAGCAGCAACTTGGGTCCACGTGACCAACGCTGTGGCCACTCCCTGCTTGAGACACCTGTTGTCAACCTTTGGGCAGTTTGTTGTGCTGCTAGCTGTCAATAAGACCAATCCAATCATCATCAACCTGAATAATTTTTTATTATCTACATTTTAAAGATAATTCATTAAATGCATCGATACATTTTCCTCTTTGCCAACATCCATTTGAAAAAATAAAATTAAAATTTTGACTAATCTGTTGAAGGTACTCACGTTCATTGCACTGCGGACCAGTGAAACGTGTGTTGCACTCATTAACACCGTTACAGTTGGGGAAAGGTGTCCCTGGACCAGTGCACTCTATTCCAACATCGCTCTCTGTAGAAAGCAAGTCATGATATTTCACGATAGGTACTTATATGTCAGTCTTAAGTGGCTACTACGAAAGCCGGAGTTACAGGGAAGAGGCATAATATACACGGAATGCTAAGGGCTAAATTAGGGTAAGCTTACTATCTTTAACGTCAAAGACCTGTATGAGGCCTAAGTCAAGGACACATCAACGGGGAGACGACCAATTGGGCCATGCCCTTCAAGAAAGGAGCCTTTCATTTCGGGGTTTTGGACTTTTGGAGAAAGACGGACATCAAAAGCGATTATCAGTCCGTTTCCTTTTCTTGCACTTGGGCTTCAGGTAAACAAGATCAGGAAAACTTGAAGTACACAAATTTCAATTTCATATAATTAGGTATATATCTGTTAAAATTGAGCATTTTTCATGGCACACGTAACGGTTTGTCATAAAAGAAGATTGCACTTTGCACTTTTAGTTCCATGAGGTAAATTTATATCAACCTAAATGTGTCGGGAATTGGTCACTGATTATCGACTTTTCGAAAAAAAAACCATTAAAAAGAAAGTTCTTACGTGAGCAATCGTGCCCACAGTATCCAGAGGAACAGGTACAAAGGCCTTGCTGATTGGATGAACATATGCAGTTGGTCGGGTTCCCAGTCGCTGAACAAAAAGTACCGTCTACAAAAAACAAAACAAATGGAAGACTTCCTTGCCAAGTGTCAATCTATTGTTTGTTTAACAACTGTATTGTGTGTAGGCAACAGTACATTCCACAAAGCTTGCGAAAACATTTACAACTAAATACAATAAGACTGCTTACGAGCACCATGTCATGTGGTCTATAGTGGGTATCGTAAATCAACAAACATGACATTCTCTTGTAGCAACGTTTTGTTTACCAAAAGTAAAGTTACGGTAGAGTATAGTAATCTGAGTTCTATACTGACAGTAGGCTTTTTTTCGTAGGCGACACTTTTGACACACTTTGCCATGGGAGGGCACTATGTTTGTTGATATTTTATATCAACTTTAGGTCATGTGACTTCACCGGTGCAATCGGTTTATTGGCCGAATTCTTGAATAGTTAACTTACCACTCACTGAGGCAATATAGACAAGCAAATCACAACTTTCACTATTCAGTGAGTCGTCAGTTGCTGTATATCGCACCAAATGTGACCCTGTCACAAGATCGAATGTGACGATGTCCCCAACGCCGAATAGAGAACCTTTCACGTCAATGCTGATAATGTAGGATCCAGAGTTGTCGAACACCGCGTCTACATCTGGCAGTGCAACAGTTGCGTAGTTCTTGAGGCAGTCCGTGTAAACAGTTAGGTTAGCCAGGCAGGCTATATCTGGAGGCTCAACATCTGAAATTAAAGAGAATACAAAAGCGCCTCCAAATTCCCTTCCTATTCAGGAACACTGTGAAGACAACTACGGTAATAAAGAAAAGTCTGTGCCTCAGTTCCACGGGTGAATTTAGGTATGTTGCTTTCCTCAAGTGAGTTCCATCCTCCAAAGTATTTTATAAATAGTTGTTCCTAACCATGGATGCAATTGAACGGCGATTCTTTGTTCCCAAAGGAACGGTTGTTTTAGCTCTTCCGTCAATTCAATTAATTTATATCACACATATACAGCAAACACAAATGTCAGATTTGCGGGTGTCGTCATTGCAGACTACATACAAATTCTATTATCTCCAAACTGACGAATTCATCTCTTCAGGATGACTAGTAAGAATGTAAGATTCGGTATTTTGACAAGCATAAAAATTGAGATCTGGGTAACTTCAGAAACGTTTTGCTCCAGTAAAATGTTTCTGAATTATCGCCAAGTAAAATAGTCTGTATAGAAACTTCCTTTAAAAGCTTTTTATTTTTTTGTACGAGGATAAGTCCTTTTAGTTTAATTCTGAAAAATGTTTCATTTTCTGCATTCTCACCTACGCACGATGAACCATTCCCCTGATAACCCACGTTACAAATACAGTAAAAACTCTCAGCAGTGTCAACACAGTACGCATGCTCGTCACAGTTGTGAAGAGGTTCAAACACGTCGCATTCGTCAACCTCTGCCAATAGAAATTGAAGTAGAAAAGAATATTTGTCTACAGTGTTAATACCAGCATATAGAAAATCCCATGGGGTTAAAGACTCCTTATATTTTGAAGCAATATTGTTTATGACATTTTGTGGGGTAAAGAGACACAGAAAGATTTTTTAGGTATAACCAAATTTACATCTCATTTTTTCACCCACTTTTTAGTACGAAAGTGGCTTCAATTAAAGTGACAGAGGGAGTTTGGATACGAAGGGTCCTGATGAAAAATGCGAAGAAACGTTTTATGAGCCAACAGGTGGAAAACTTTGAGTGTTTTTTTGGTATTTCTTTATTCAGAAGCAATAATTCCCTTGGTGTGTAAACCAACGCTTTATGAAGGTACCCTAATCGTTTCAGTTTGAAATGATATCTAAGTAGTTTAGATCTGGTTTTACCCTTCCAAACGATTTTTTACGGTTACAACCTTAAGTGCTTTCACCTGGTGGTGGTTCCGTGGGGTAATCTGGAAGCATGCAATAGATATAGTAGTCTTCACAGCAATCTCCATAGATCTCGCACGCACCGTCACACCAGCAACCTCCTCGAGATCCATCAAGGAAACAGAAATTGCGACAGCCAACTGTAAAAAAATCAGTATAGACTGCGATGAAAATGACAAAACTATCCGCTCTGAGCGGAAACAAAGAGGGCGTGATTTTAAGTAAAACACACTGCGTGGAAAATTCTGTTTGAGTCTCGAGATTCAGGTTTGAAGTGAAGATGGTTGGATGATGGGCTTTAAGTGCATGAGGTTGGATTCACATTTTCGATGAGTAGGATTTAATATTTATAAAACTTAGGGCTTCAGTTTCAAGATGGGATACAGGGAGGGTGTCAAACAGGGGGGCATTCCTATGAAAAAAATGGGGGTTAAATACTTTAAAACATAACAACAGAAAACTGATCTTTGGGTTATATTTTATTTCATGTCTTTGCAAAAGTGTGTAACAAATTCAAAGTCCTTTGAATCCCAACCCCGAAACAGGCGATAAAAAGGTAATCCAAAGGCCATAACAAGTGAATAAAAAGGGAACTAGACGAAAATTTCCTAGCCCCTCCCCCACGTAAAGTTCCCTTCCGATAATCTGGTGCTGGATCCACCCTCAATCAGGTTTTCAGACACTGGACTGATAGTGGCAGTGTGATGGAATTTGTTGGTTGTGCAATGCTGATCAAAGGTTGTGCGTTGAGTATTCAGGCACTTGACTTGGGACCTTCAAACTGTAAGATTGAAGTTTTGGATTCGACAATTTATGATTACCGCAATTTTGCTCATCCCTGCCATCATTACAGTCCGGGAAGCCGTTGCAATGCCATAAATCAGTAATGCAGACGAACTCGCCACAGTCAAAGGTTCCCGAAGGGCATGAAAGGTCTTACAAGAAGAAAACAATAGATTAGACAAATCTGTTCCATATTGGAAGTAAGAACTAGGTCATCTTTGATATTGCTGGATTCATGCATTATAGCGATACACGTGCTATACAAGGCTCCACTTCGGTTTGACTGCACAGCCAGCCAGCCAACTCTAATTGGTTACAAGTTTAACGTTCCTACATCGCATAGGGATACACACTTATTCGTACTTTTTCTTCAGAGATGGCATTTGCACAAGCGCCTAGTTTGCTTCATAATATAGGTCACTGATATAAGCAATTAACACCTGTAGGCCTACATGAAGAAGATTGGTCGCAATGCTTGTTAATTAATCAATCAATTACATGTTTGCCACAATAAGAAATATCTCAGATGCCGATCAAGACACTTGTATTCTTTGTACCTTCGGTTGTGGTTTTTCCTTGAGTTGTTGTACTTTGCTGATTACTAACTGCAGTGGACAGTAAATCAATTAGGCAAAGAGTCATATTCAGGATATGTTTTTATATCTGCACAGTAAATCAATACGACATGTATCGGGCAACAGCCAAATAACTCACTTTTCCTTCTGTGTGGGTGTGTATGTGTGTATAAGTTTTCCTTGAGATGTTATAGCAATAAGTCAGGTACCGACCAAGAGGCTTTATGTTTTATCGTTAGGTGTGACTTCTCCTTCAGGCGTTGTAAATCAGTAACAAAAGTAAACGGGGCAACTTCGAGGAAACGAATCACGAAATCAAAGTCTTTATTTCACCTTCCGTGTTACAATAAAACAATATGACATATAAAAGGTATTGACAAAAATACTGCGTTTACCTTGAGGTGTGACTTCTCCTTGAGTCGTACTTTGCTGATCAACAACAGGTGTAGACGTGAAAATTTCGAGGAAACGAATCATGAGATCAATTTATTTCACCCTCCTTACAATGTAACAATGGCATTGTATTAGGTATACGGACTAAGAAAAACTGTGTTTACCTTTTGTTGTGACTTCTCCTTGAGTCGTACTTTGCTGATCAACAACAGCAGTAGACGGGGAACCTTTGAGAGAAAAAAATCATCACAACCAATGTTTGTGTTACCCTCACTACAGTGCAATAATGCACCAAGCATCGACCAAGAAACATTAAGCTTACCTTGCGGTGTGCCTTGTCCTTGAGTTGTACTTTGCTGATCAACTACAGGTGTAGACGGGGAAACTTCGAGAAAAACAGTCATGGCAACAAATGTTTATTTTACCCTCTTTAAAATTTAACAATATGACTTGTCTCAGGTCTCGACCAAAATCATTGTACTTACCTTGAGGTGTAACTTCTCCTTGAGTCGTACTTTGCTGATCAACAGGAGTAGATGTGGAAACTTCGACAAAAAAATGATGACAACCAAATTTTCCAATAAATGAAATGCTCTTTAAAAACTAAATAATGCCTATGTGCAGATTTGATTTACGTATTGCAAGAGCTTAATGCTATGAGCAGGTACGAAAAATATATCGTAAATCGTCATGATGTATAAAAACAGTAGAGTCCATCACATTGAATAAAAACGTTATGCGTGTCACATTTCCATGACAACGCATCTTTAAAAATACCCAAGGAAAGACAACTTGAAAAGACTATTCCAAATGGGATGATCAAGATATTTTTGAAGCAGCCCTTGAAGCAAAACGAAAACCAAGTATTACACAAGGAACTGTTAAAAAGGTATCAACATTATTACCAGGATTACTGCAATTGACTTCATCGCTTCCATTAATACAGTCTGTCTGATAATCACACCGCCAAGATCCATTGATGCATACAGAATGTCCACAGTCAAACTCATTCCCTCCACAAATCAGATTTTCTGAAACAAATGTCAGCTTCATTACAATTATTGTAAGGACGAGCACGTACGGGGCGCACTCAACAATAAAGTGACAGCGCCACCAAGCGGTGACACGCCATTCTACAATGTGCGGTCTCCCTTGTAGCTGGCCTGTACACCTCTTGCTTCTTTTAGGTAAAATTCACCCTTTTTAGCAAGTGGTCACTAATGAGTTCAGAATAAGCCATTATATTGGGGGCTCTGTCACTGTATAATGAAGTCGGAAAATAGAGTATTTCAGTGAAACATGTTATAAATTATAATTTTCTTTAAGTTTCCTGTAGGTCACGGTCTTCAATGGACGCCCTTGTGCGTTCATATGGAAAAAAGTATTTTCGGCCGACCGCCCACTTCATTCACAATCTCAGTCACGTGTTAGTAGTAGTAGTCAATCGTTAGTAGTAACGATTGTTTAATTGATATTTTTGTGTGAATAAATTATTATAGTGCAAGTACTATCAGGTGCCCCTTCTTGGTGATAGAAATTGATTCCGTAAGCTATTGTACATGGTGTACATGTATTTGTGGTGCACATGGGAACACAAAGATCAGAGTTTCAAATATATTGGCTTTAATCTCCAAAGCAGTTGTTGGCTTTAAAGAGCTGTGCCTTGCTACAGTAGGTACACGTAAATGATTCACAGTCATCTTTTACTGTAAAAAGCTCTTTTATGGCAGTTTAAATTCTTTGTCATAACAGTGTAATTGGGAATGCTTGATTATTATAATGAAATTATGTGTTCCTAAACGAGATTTCCTGTGAGGTCCAGGATGTGCTCTCACACCTTGATAATTCAGCCTCATTAAGGGCTCGGACTTCTGTTTCCAACTTCATGTATTTTACTTCATGCACAGTTGGATCTGCCTAGGTGATGATTTTGCATTTCACCCATCAAATCTTCTTTCTTTCCTGTTCTGTCTTTTTTTGTAATTGTGTAATTAATTCCCCAATGTGCTGTCTCCCTTGCTGCAGGCTTGCTCACCGCTTGCTCCTTTCAGAAATAAACTGAGTGACTCGGGCCCAGGTGTCGTTGTCTTTTTTTCATGCTTACACCTTCATCACCCCTACCAGCCCTCCACAATATACTTTATCGACACTGTAATAATCTGAAGCAATGAGCAACATAAACTGCTTGTTTCAACTTTGTGAAAACAAGAAACAGAGGAAACAAGGAATGTATCGAATTCAAATTTCATTGAAACACATGTTTGCTTATCAACCTGCTGAATTTAAGACTCACCCGTTGATGGAATGCATGAAGCCCACAGTGAAAACCCCATGTCAGTCACGTTTCCGTTTGACGTGAATCTCAACCACATTTCAGTCCCGGTGGAGATCAGATCAGGTGCCTCTTTACCTCCGTGCCAAGCAAAGAACTCGCCAGTGGCAATATTGCCACCGTCACCAGCACGGAAGTAATCATAGTTACGCTCAGTTTTAAAGCTGGAGAAGGTGACACGAACCCTCTGTCCCTCTCCACACTGGATGATCCAAGTCATGTTGACCTTGTTGGGATAGTTGCTTGGATGAAAAGGTGAGGTTATCTGAACACTGTCACTTCCATTGATGATATGGAGGATGCTTTCTGCTGCGGTAAAAAATTTTCAGAGGACTGGAAGGTCAGCTGAGAGATATTTTAATGTGCTCAGATATTGATTGTTACGTATCATTCACGCAACAAATTGGTATGTCAACTAAAATTTGTGACAAATTAAACATCTGTTTGATTAAAGGTGAACCAGGTCAGGCTGAATCAGCTTCAGATGATTGAAAAGTTTAACACTGTCAGACGAATAGAATCTTACCTTCTCATTCAGTTTCGTATCAATTGTAAAATAAGTGTCTCAAGCCCGTTTATGGTTTCCTTGGTGCAGTTATTTTTTTCCTGTGTGTTTTTTACTCTGCAGCATGCCTTGCTAAGAAAAGACTAACCCCAAGAAATATTTCCAATGCACAATTCCTTCATAAGTTTCAACATAAACTGATGACACGGCTATTTTTGCAAAGTACTGAAAACGTCATTTGAAAAGATATAAATTTAAGTTCAGACAATATGAAAAGTTGTAGAACCAGTCTGCGGTGGCGAAAATCTTTGTTGTGCAATCTTTTGAAACATTAAAAATGTTTCCAAATGTGGCATGTATCGGAGAAAAAGAATCATCACAACCAATGTTTATGTTACACTCACTACAATGCAATAATATATCAAGCATCGACCAAGAAACATTGTGCTTACCTTGAGGTGTGCCTTGTCCTTGAGTCGTACTTTGCTGATCAACAACAGGGGTAGACGGAGAACCTTCGAAAAAAGAATCATCACAACCAATGTTTGTGTTACCCTCACTACAATGCAACAATGCATCAAGCATCAACCAAGAAACATTGTGCTTACCTTGAGGTGTGACTTCTCCTTGAGCTGTACTTTGCTGATCAACAACAGCTGTAGACGGGGAATCTTCGAGAAAAATAATCATCACAACCAATGTTTGTGTTACCCTCACTACAATGCAACAATGTATCAAGCATCGACCAAAAAACATTGTGCTTACCTTGAGGTGTGACTTCTCCTTGAGTGGTACTTTGCTGATCAGCAACAGAAGTAGACGGAGAACCTTCGAGAAAAAAAATCATCACAACCAATGTTTGTGTTACCCTCACTACAATGCAACAATGCATCAAGCATCAACCAAGAAACATTATGCTTACCTTTTGTTGTGACTTCTCCTTGAGTGGTACTTTGCTGATCAACAACAGGAGTAGACGGGGAATCTTCGAGAAAAATAATCATCACAACCAATGTTTGTGTTACCCTCACTACAATGCAACAATGCATCAAGCATCGACCAAGAAACATTGTGCTTACCTTGAGGTGTGACTTCTCCTTGAGTGGTACTTTGCTGATCAACAACAGGAGTAGACGGGGAATCTTCGAGAAAAAGAATCATCACAACCAATGTTTGTGTTACCCTCACTACAATGCAACAATGCATCAAGCATCGACAAAGAAACATTGTGCTTACCTTGAGGTGTGCCTTGTCCTTGAGCTGTGCTTTGCTGATCAACAACATGGGTAGACGGAGAACCTTCAAGAAAAAATAATCGTCATAACGAATGTTTATGTTGCACTCACTACAATGCAACAATGCACCAAGCATCGACCAAGAAACATTGTGCTTACCTTGAGGTGTGACTTCTCCTTGAGTGGTACTTTGCTGATCAACAACAGGAGTAGACGGGGAATCTTCGAGAAAAATAATCATCACAACCAATGTTTGTGTTACCCTCACTACAATGCAATAATGCACCAAGCATCGACCAAGAAACATTATGCTTACCTTTTGTTGTGACTTCTCCTTGAGTGGTACTTTGCTGATCAACAACAGAAGTAGACGGAGAACCTTCGAGAAAAAGAATCATCACAACCAATGTTTATGTTACCNTCACTACAATGCAACAATGCACCAAGCATCGACCAAGAAACATTGTGCTTACCTTGAGGTGTGACTTCTCCTTGAGCTGTACTTTGCTGATCAACAACAGCTGTAGACGGGGAATCTTCGAGAAAAAGAATCATCACAACCAATGTTTATGTTACCCTCACTACAATGCAACAATGTATCAAGCATCGACCAAGAAACATTGTGCTTGCTTACCTTGAGGTGTGACTTCTCCTTGAGTGGTACTTTGCTGATCAACAACAGGAGTAGACGGAGAACCTTCGAGAAAAAATAATCGTCACAACGAATGTTTATGTTGCACTCACTACAATGCAACAATGCACCAATAATCGACCAAGAAACATTGTGCTTACCTTTTGTTGTGACTTCTCCTTGAGTGGTACTTTGCTGACCAACAACAGGGGTAGACGGAGAACCTTCGAGAAAAAGAATCATCACAACCAATGTTTATTAATCCTTCTCATGCAACAATGTGATATGTACCGACTAAGAAACATTATGCTTACCTTTTGTTGTGACCTCTCCTTGAGTGGTACTTTGCTGATCAACGACAGAAGTAGACGGAGAACCTTCGAGAAAAAGAATCATCACAACCAATGTTTATGTTGCACTCACTACAATGCAACAATGCACCAAGCATCGACAAAGAAACATTATGCTTACCTTTTGTTGTGACTTCTCCTTGAGTGGTACTTTGCTGATCAACAACAGGAGTAGACGGAGAACCTTCGAGAAAAACGAATCATCACAACCAATGTTTGTGTTACCCTCACTACAAAGCAACAATGCATCAAGCATCGACCAAGAAACATTATGCTTACCTTGAGGTATGACCTCTCCTTGAGTGGTACTTTGCTGATCAACAACAGGGGTAGACGGAGAACCTTCAAGAAAAAATTATCGTCACAACGAATGTTTATGTTGCACTCACTACAATGCAACAATGCACCAAGCTTCGACCAAGAAACATTGTGCTTACCTTGAGGTGTGACTTCTCCTTGAGGGGTACTTTGCTGATCAACAACAGAAGTTGACGGAGAACCTTCGAGAAAAATAATCATCACAACCAATGTTTGTTAATCCTACTAATAATGCAACAATGCGATATGTATCGTTTATTGACTAAGAAACATTATGCTTACCTTTTGTTGTGACTTCTCCTTGAGTGGTACTTTGCTGATCAACAACA